GGTTCAGGCGTATTCCCCACTTCCATGTCTTCACCAGCTTCACTGAGAGTTTCATCCATACTCTCTTCTTCTGACTCATGTCTCCTTCTCTCGAGAATTTTCTTAAATCGGTCCTCGACGGGTCCGCTCCTCTTGTCTCCAGGTGTGTCCACGGACAGTGGTGATGGTGTCGCGGGATCCAGCTTTTTGTATTCCGTCAGTGCTACGTGCAGTTGACCTGCTGCATCTAGTTCTGTTCCTTCCTGTCTTATTTCCACCTGTTCCAAGCCATAGGGCGCCTTATATTTTCTCGTGGCAAATTTCATGTCGTCCACCAGTGCGACGTGTCCCTCCATCACGATCATCCTGCCATCATCCCATATGGGTAGCATATTCTCAAGTCCTTCCTTCTCAAGAGTCCTCAAGACTTTCCACACCTCATATCCAGGGGGCTGCGAACCTCTACTCTTTTTCGCTTGCGTCGTCCACGAATTTACCTTCATCTCGCTGGTATGGAAGTAGACCGCCGCCGTGTAGCCAATGAACAGGGGGTCCCAGCCATCAGTGAAATCCTTCTGCATTTCCTCCGCCCTCATCCTCGCCATTATGGAGGGAACTACCAAGGGACTATTCATTCCTAAGGTCATCCTCCTGACTATTGGGAACTCAGGCATGGTTGCCGGGAGGATTTCTTTCTCCATTATGGTCTCTAGCTCCCTCTTCACCAGTGCGAAGCACTCCTTCCAGGCAGGAATTCTCAAGATTTCTCGTCCGTCCGCCGTCAATGGGTTCAAGTTCCAGAATTTGGGATACATTTCAATAGGGCCCTCTCGCTTGCCTCCCATTCTGCATTGCATTTGTCCCCTGAAATTGCACACCATCATCTCAGCATCTTTCACTTTTCCGAAGAGTACCGTGTTGCTGATACGCGCCCTGAGCACTTCCTGCTGACACCAATTCAGCGCTGCACCATCCAGTACGCTGATGAGACTCAAGTGCGTCACCGAGTGACGATACGTTATCACCAGGGGATCTGGAAACGCGTACGTCACTGCTGGACCATAGATGCAGGTCACCACCTCCTCCAGACCTCGGATTATCCCCATTGGGTCCGACCTCATTGCCAGACACAGGTCCGTCAACAGAGGCATCCCTCTGTTCGCCTTCTCCCATTCTTCTCTCGAGGTTGGGTTCTCATCTTCACCCGTCATGTATCGATTCTGCATCATGAGGTATTGCACCAGTAGTGTCTTCAACCCTGCGGCGCACTTGTAGGAGCTGGTTTCAATGCTCGTGTGGACTCTCCCCATAGACAGAGGTTCTCCATATTCCATTAACCGATGAAACGACACCAATTCCCCATGGGTCAAGAGCACTAGTGCCAGGTACCCATCAACTCGAAGTGTCTCCACTCCCCGACTAAACATATATGCTGGACCCATATTGAACAAGTATCTGGGGTAGACCAAATACAGGGCCAAGAGCAGGCTGATGGGCATGCCCAGTATCTCCTGCACGAAGGCTCCGAAGATAGTCGCCGTGGTGCCGAACACTCCTGCCAAGAATTCTCTCTCCCAGCAAGGACTCAAGAACTTGAGAATCTCGTAATCTCTCCTAGTCTTCAATTCGCCGTTGGCGTGCTCTCTCCAAAATCCTCCAATCGTCACTTCATTGGCGGCCGAGACAAATCTAACCACCGTCATGTCTCTCCTTTCAGCTAGCTCCAGTTGCTTCTCTAGAAAACTCCAGATTTGTTTCACGAGGAGTGGTGCTTCCTCCCTCGTTTTACTCGTGGCGTTCTCCAGCCTTGGTGTCAGGAATGGCCACCAGCCATTCTCTTGGGTCAAGCGATATTTCATCGATTCTAACTGTTTCTCCGTCTCGACCACATTTCTTCTCTCGTTGCTGGGACCTCTAGTCCTGCTGGTGGAATTTGCGACTTTCACATCCATACTCCGGAACCACAGGCTGGCCGTCAACTGGTTTATCGCCGGGTGGTCGTCCCCGATGACTGGGCTGAACTTGAGTTGTCTAGCAAAGTTCGATATCTCTAGCAAGAGTACCTCATCCAATACAATCAAGACATCGGCTAGTCCGTAAAAGCCCCTCAGCGCATGAGATATGTCAGCCCATGCCGCTGGTAATTCTGATCTGTAAAGTCTCAAGTTTACTGGCTCCAGCTCTCGATTGGGGGCTGCCATCAGAATCCGCCATTCACTCCCTTCCGCTATCAAGATTAAGACCGCATACACGAATTGTAGGGCGGGTGGCATGCTGGCGTATCCTGGGGATGTGGTAAACACCACCTTTGTCTTGGACCCAAATCTCGAGGCTACGTTCTCTTGTACCTCATTCATCGCCGCAAATAACGCCTGAATAGCCTCCCATATCTTCTTTGATGTCGGAATCTCTTTGCCCTTCAGTTGCTCAAGAAGTCCCATCGCGTGCAGGTGGTCATTCATTCCTGCAAACAATAGCAGCTCAGGTTCACAGGGCATCTCCGACTTTATTGCCACCACTAGGGTCAACATCTGGTTCAATTCGGCTCCTGGCAAAGAGTATACCAGAGTCTCCGGCCAGAACAACTTGGGAGACGTTCCTTCGAAGTCTGATCCCGCCACAATGATCACTCTTGCAGCAGCTGGATCTGCTCTATCATAAACTGCCAGAGTCTTGGCCAATTGGGTGCCGCCACAGGGCTTCCCGTACCTGGGATCCTCTGCCAACCTTGGACCTTCGTAAGCAGCGTCAGGCAACTCCATTCCCCCCGGGTTGAGTAGCTTGTCTACTACCTTCAATTGCGCCGGGGTTGCCAACCTGATCCTGGCGATGCCAGTTCGGTGCTTGGGAGGTTCTGCTATAAGTCCAGGACTCCCTAGCTGCTTAAGAGGCCTGTAGTTAATGGGTCCCATGATCGTTTTTGTGGGAATTCCAGTCAGGTCTGTAGTCTCCATTAACTTCGTTCTCGAGAAATGCGCCTCGTGTGCTTTCAACCAGTCTACGCAATGATGTCTATTCAAGTCCTCATGCGACACTCGTTCGATCCCCAGGGTTTCCGCCAACTCTCGTCTGCATTCCAAAGTCTCTAGATCCAGTTCCTTCACCTTCTCAGGATATCTCAAGCGGGTAGTCTCCCTAGACTTCTTTTCTCTCCTGCCATCTGCCACCACCACGGAGGACATCGCCGAGGTCGGAGGTGTTGATGACTCTACCTCCTCCGACTCCATTGGTGTGGCACTCTGCAATCGGGTCTGATTGCTCCTCGAGCTATCTCTAGTATCAACTCTCGCTCCCAATCGACCAGCCAAGGCCCTCGAGGCAAGGAATGGTGGGTTGGGAGGTGGCCCTAAAGTGAATTGGGCTGTCTCCAGCAGGTCCGCTTCTAGCGTGTTTATGTGTTCCTGGAAGACGTCGTTCAGCCACTCAGCTCCCCTTGGCCTATCGAAATGGATTCCATCTTTCGAGGTGTCTTCAGGGAATCCCTTGTTCTCCATGCGTTCTGCAACGTCTAACAGCCTAAGAGGAAGCACACTGTTTCGGTGTATTTCTCGGATCGCCTTGTTCAGGCTCCGCACCCTCTGGTTCATCTCTAGGGAGTGTTGATCAAACATCATGTTATAGGGGACCGTGCATATCGTCAGCAGGATGGGATCCATTTGGATCCTCAGCTCCTCAAGAAGGCAACTCATCTTGTCGCATAGCCTCGTCACTTTCCTTGCTTCTCCTCTCGACACGTCGTTGGTCCCAACCATCAAGGTGACTGTGTAAACTTTGGTCATTCCTAGCATGTCCAGAGTTGCCAACATCTGTGGCGTAGCAGCTCCAGCGAAACTCAAGACTCCCGTCTGCCAATGTGACCGGATCTGGGTCAACACCCGCACCAGGCTGTCCCCTATAATCAGGTGAACCGCACCCTCTGGCACACGAGGTGGCGCTAGATACTGCACCCAGGCTGCGTCGTGGAAGCAGTCCCTCCTGGCTTGCTGTTCCGCATTCCAGTCCAGCCGACTATGCTTGTGGTAGTTCCCCTCTGTGTTCTTCTTGTAGCTCGCGATCACGACGTTTCTGACCGGCTGTTCCCTCCAAGTTGGGGGAAGCTCTGGCCTTGTCGCCCTTTCACGACTCTGCTGCTGCAATTTCTCGCCCAGCTCCTTCAGGCGCGATGAGGCGCCACTCACCTGACTACCGCTCGAGGTCGAGGTGGGTGTATATCCTGGTAACACCACATCCATCAGAGGACGTACAGGTTGGGTCTCTAGATTGCGCAAGGAGGGCGTCGCGTCATTCGGTATCCAGACCTCCAACCCTTCACTCATGTGTTCCCTGGCCTCGCGGTCAAGGTTGAACCGTCCTCTAGCCCTGGGAGCTTCATCCACCTCCATGCGCGACTCTGGCCTTGAGCTTGTCACCACTCGTTCGTTTGACCTGGCTCCCTTTTGTGCGTCCAGCTCGCGTTGTCGTTGTTCTATCCTTTCCAACTCCGACTTTAGTTGATCGCGATTCGCGGCGTTCTCCCGCACCTTTAGCTCCTGCTGATGTTCCGCCCTTAGCATCTCAAGTAATTTCAACGTCTGATCCCGCTCGTCGACTGCCTGGTCTCTCTCCAGCTGAAGCCTCTCCCTATCCAACTTCGCCTGATCCCGATCGAGGTTCGCTTTATTCCTTTCCTTCAGCGCCTTCTCAAGCTCTTTCCTTAGGACTCCCAGCTCCGGATATGCCTCGGTCGTCTGTTGCGCTCGCGACATCGACGGCACCTTACTCGAGCTCTGGCCCGTGGATCTCGCTGTTGGCCTCGTCGGTAGCGGGAACTCTCCTGCGCCGTGTTCGGTGTTGTTACTCAGGCCAGGATTTCTTGCCAAGTCAAAGCCCCTTACTCCTCCATCCGCATTCCAAGACAACCATCTGGTCTGTGCTCGATTTGATATGCCCTCAGTGGTGTAGCCGACTATCAAGACAGCCTCCGTCGCAGACTCCCTGCACTCGCCCTGGTCCTCCAACTGGAGGATCGCATTCAGCATCACCGCCATTCTCTCGTCGATCTGGGTGTGGTCCAGGTCCCTCAAGCGTCTGTACAGCTCGTCAAGAGTGGGCCTCTGCAGAGCCGTGGGCATAGAGTTCCAGAATCGGTCTGCCATTCTTTATAACTTCGGGATGTGTGTAGATAGATGTCAACCAGCTCAAGAATTACCTTACCAACTCAAGTATTACCCAATTCAAGAAATCTCTAGAAATCTTCTCTTGCAAGCACTTGCTGTAGATCCGGATTGTCGCGTGTTCAATCAAGATTCTCTTTTTCTGTTTCTCGCTTGAGTGTAGTTGGATATTCAACTTTGTTTTCAAACTTGATCTGAAAACATAAAGCTCATTAAAACTTAGTATGTCACGTTCCTAACCTAGAGACCCCCCTTCTACCCATATGATTAAAATCTTATCATTCACATATCACTTAAAACAATTTGATTGGATCTCCCTTAAGAACATGCAGATTCATTTTATATTTTAGCACCATCAATTCTTTCTTTTAAAATTCAATTGTCATGCCAATCACATCTTAAGATCCCTTTACCTGCGCCGCACCCCAGTACCTGACTCAAGACTCCTCCCTCACACCCGACCTGGTACTTCCATGTACCCGACTCAGGCGATGCTCAAGTAGTACTTCTTGTGAAGATGCACCATTATCTCTGTTTCTGCAAAGACCACATGTAGGATAGCGTACAATTCCCTCGAGCTCAGTTTGCCCCTGTTTGGGTCGTACACCGGCATCGAGACCTCCACTATTCCTCTTTCAATCATGAAGTCACGTAGTCTTGTCAGTGCCAATATCACGTGTTCGGGATCAATTGTGTTTCTGTCGTTGACTCTCGTTACTAGGAAGCAGAGGTATTTGCCCGGGACTTGTGCCACTGACGGTGGAAGCGCTGCTATGCCTCCCAGTCCTGGCCTCTGTCTGAACAGAAACTCTACGTTCTGGTACTCTCTTTTGAAGTCAGCCTCCAATCTTGATTTGAAACTCATGTCCGCCGTGATGCAGATCGCGCTGGTCCTGTTTGACAGGATGAAGTCGCTATCTGTTATCATGATGTTCTCTGAGTATTCATTGGGTATTTCGAATTTCGTTTTGAAATTCCTTCCTATGGTAGGCTCTGGTTCTTCTTCCTCCAGTTCCAATCCGCTTGTTTCCCTCACTTCCTTGAGCTTCTTTATCATCAAATTTTCGGTGTGGGTAAGTCCTACCCCCACTCCCCGGACAAAAATATTTATCGACGTCCCCGTCGATGTAGTCGGGTCTGAATTGTCCTTAGGGATGTCCAGTGGCCTGTCTGTTGCTGTCCATCCGAAAAGAGGGTCCTCTGTCTTCATGTAATTTGCTGCTGATATATCGACTTGCTGAATGCTTTGTCCTTCGTGGCTCTCGTCCTTGACATCACGCATCCACTCTAGAATCCTCAAGTTCGTGTTCTCCCTCCTTTCTATTTCACTCTGCTCGAGATCCGTCTCCAATTCTGGCGTCGAGTAATCATCCTGCGGATAATGTCCACCATCGTCAATGACCTGCCATTCCTCTCCGGCTTCCAGTTCGCCTGCGCTTAGTAGTTCATCGCCCAACTTGTCTGGCTGTATCTTATCGATCAAGAAGTCATCGCCGTACCTATTGTACCTCATGCCTGTGCGTTTACGATTGCCAGTCCTGGTTTCCGGTGGTGTTGGTCGATCCGGCTCCATCCACTTCGGTACCTCGTTTTGCTCTGGGTCGTTCCAGTCTTCTTCTACAAATGAACCTGCATCCGACTCCACTTCTATCTTTTCGTTGTCGTCCAAACTCAAGTTCTCATTACCATCATTTTTCTCTCTAGTGCCTTTCTCATTCACTTCGCACGCTGGTTCCACCACCAGGTACTCAAGACCTTCCATGTCTTTTGGTAGGCACCAGTCCTCCGGGGACGGGACATGAGGCTTCAGATTTTCGTAATGTGCTGCTCGCCCTGTACTCAAGCGATAGAACCGTCCTTGTTGATGTACTTCCGTAATCATGAACGGTCCTCTCCATTTCTTGAGTAGTTTCTTTGTTCCCTTGGGCGGTATGACATTTTGGAAGACCCACACGTATTGGCCCACTTCGTATGGCTTTGCTCTTAGTATCTTTTCGTCATATTTCTTGCGTTGCCTCATTTGCGCTTGCGCCGTGTTTCTCCGACATAGCTCGTTTAGCTCTTGTTGTCTTTTGATCGCTTCCTTCACGTATGCTTGAGGTGACGTCCTCTTCCCCTCGTACTCCGGGTAAAAGAATGTTATAGGCATTGCCCTTTCCCTGCCTGTCAACATCATGAAAGGACTGATACCCGTCGTTGAGTGCTGAGTACTTTTATAGGCTCCTACTACCTGTGGCAGGTATTTGTCCCAGTCCGTCATGTATCTCGAGCAGTACACCCTGAGCATGTTGACCAGTGTCCTGTTCTGTCTCTCTACCAACCCATTGGTCTGTGGATGATAGGTCGTCGAGTGCGCTTGAGCAATGTGTGATCTCTTCATCAATTCTTTTGTCAAGTCCCCCACAAAAGCCTTGCCGTTGTCCGACTGGAAAGTCATTGGACAACCATACCGCGATATCCAATGCGTTATCAGGTGATCACATGTCTCCTCTGCCGAGGCTGTCTGGCACGGAACCGCTTCCGCCAACTTGGTGAAGTGATCTATTATAACTAGTATTTGGTTATAACCCGACTCCGTCATGCAGATTTTCTGATGGTCTATCTGCACCACTTCATTGAATTCCGAACTCTCGACAGACTTGAGGGGAAACTTCATCTTCCTTGGGTCTTTTACTTGAAGGCATGCTAGGCAGGCATTCACCCATCTCTCGCAAGCTTTTCTCATTCCCGGCCAATCAAACCTGTGAAGTATCCTTTGTTGTACTTTATCTATCCCCTGGTGGCCCATCTGGTCGTGTGATCTGAAAAGCACCTCCGTTTGGTACAATTGTGGTAGTATGATGAGGTTGTGTTTGTGTAATATTTTTTCCTCATCTCTTCTCTTGCACGCTACCACCCCTTCAGCTGTGTGATAAAGTAAATCTCCCTTTTCCTTGTAGAACTGGCTCAAGATCTTGTAGCTGTCTTCCTCAAGTTCCCCCTTCTCCTTGACTCCCGAATGGATCCATTTGGAGAGGTTACTTGTCATTTTGTCATTCTTCTGGGCCCTTATTAGGTCAGACAGCCTGTATCTCGCCTTAACGTGCTCCTTTAGCGCCATGATCTGTCCATTCATTTCACCAGGGTTGTGGGTGTCATCACTCAGCTTCACACATATCATCCTTTTCACGATTTTCATGTCGTCTTCTGGTACCAGATTCGTTCTGACGTTTGAGTTGCACGATAGTTCCCTTAGTGGTTTTCTTGAAACTGCTATTTTCTCGAGCTCTTCACCACCTCGTACCTCTTGTATTTCCAGATTGTACGTCCCTGAAGATGGATCCGTCTGTAATTCCCTGTCGTGCTGTCTTATCTTCTCTTCCGCCAGTATCATGCATAGACTGTCTTGGTCTTCGCTGCTCTCATCCGAGTCTTCATCCCATTCTTCACGCTCCCCGGACAATTTTCCTTCTCCGGTTCCGTCTTCTTCCATGAATCTGTACCACTCCCCAGACTCTTGATCTAGTCCCAGGTGTTCAATTTCTTCTCTGAATGTCACTTTCTTATCCCTGACTTTTGTCTGCTCCAGAATTTTTTCGGGGATTTTTTCAACTAGTGATCGCACAACTTCCTTGCTATCAGTGATGCTCCCTTTTGAGACGTCAGTATTGTTCACTGTTTCTTCTCTCCGAAGTATGGTTAGTTCTGGTGCCTCCTGACCTTTCCCTTGGATCACGGGCTTGTTATCTGATAGTTTCTCAAGCAACCTCATTAAGTCTACATCTATTCGGACCGTTCCCTCCTCTACCTGGATGAGATCATAACCTTTTGCCTTGAGTGTTTCCCTCACGATCTTGGACTTGAGCATTATTCCTATCGGAATCCCTCTATTTTTCTTCAAGATGGTCTTTTCAAGAGGCTCTTTCGGCAATTCGGGATGATCTTCTATCGGTTTGCCTGATTTGTCCAGCCATCTCGTGAGTGGAAGACTGTCGTACGTTTCTTTGTCCATAAAGGAGAAGCCGTCTTTGATCTCAGGTCTGTCCGCCTCTCTTTGTTCTTGCCTCTCGTAGAACTCCGTCTTCTTACTCAAGCTGTCAGCATTTTGATGTTTATCTCGTGTTCTGTGCTCAATTATCATGTTGTATCCATCCAAGCGAACTATCCACCTCCCAATATAGCTCTGGTCCATTGAGTACGTTTTCAGCCAGCTTAGTGCTCGGTTGTCGACTCGCAGCTTGAAGGGCTCACTGCCTAGGTATGCTCTGTATTTTTCGACAAAGGTGACCACCGCGAACATCTCTGCTTTCGGTGCTCCGTACTTCATTTCTGTGTCACTTAGGACCTTGCTCCCGTATGCTATTGGTCTCAAGACTGTCTTCCCATTCCATTCTTGTTCTTGATGGAGAATCCCAGAAATGGCGACTACTGACGCGTCCGTGTCTAGCACGTACATCCCCTTCTCTGTCGGCATACCCAGTACTGGTGCCTCACATAGCTCTTTCTTTATTCTCTGGAATGACTCTTCTGCCGCGTTGTTCCACGTGAACTTCTTGCCCTTATGTCTCATTAGTTGTTGCATCGGGTATACCTTGTCCGCATAGCCCTTGATGAATTCTCTATAATAGTTGGCGAAACCCAGGAAGCTCATCAGCTGGTGCTCCGTCTTCGGTGATTTCCAGGTTAGGACTGCTTCCACGGCGTCTGGATCAGGTCTAATGCCGTGCTTATCTACCATCCTTCCCAAGTATTTAATCGAGTCCTTGAGTATCTCGCACTTTGATGGTTTACACTTCAGCCCCGATCTCTTCATGCACGCGAACACCTCGTCAAGCCTCTCGATGTGGTCTTCTAGTGTCGGCGTCGCTATTACCACGTCGTCCACGTAGCACATTACCAGGTTGCCGTACTTCTTCGTCACGCCTATCAACGCGTGTGCCATCAGCCGCTGAAACGTGGCTGTTGCATTGCAGAGTCCAAACGGCATCCGTTTCCATTGAAACAGACCCAACTCGCAGGCGAACCCTGTCTTGTCCCTGTCTTGCTTCCTTAATGGTACCTGCCAAAAAGCCGAGCCTAAATCAAGAGTCGTAAAAAATTTTGCATCACCTAACTTCGAGAGGCTCTCATCAATTCTAGGTATGGGATAGGCATCCTTCACCGTGACGGAGTTCAGGTATCGAAAGTCACAACAAAACCTTAACTGGTCGCCTTTCTTTTTGGCCATCACTACTCCACACGCCCACGGTGACTTGGATGGTTCTATCATGTCATACTCTAGTAACGTTTCGATTTCTTTTCTACACGCGTCCGATTTGTGTGGGGTCATGCGCCTCGCCCCCTCCCTGTGTGGTACCGCGTTTTCCTCAAGTTCAATTTCATGTTCAACAAAATTACAACACCCGATATCCGCCTTATGCCTTGAAAAGACCTCCTCGTTTCGCTCTAGTACATCCTTGATAGCTTCGAGCTGTTCATCTTTCAGTTTGCCCCTTAAATGTTCAATCTCCGGCAGAACCGGTTTATCAATTTGCATTTCATCTAGTGTGGGTCGCTCTGGAAAGTTCGAACAGCTCGAAAGCCCATCGTCCGTTTCTGACTTAAGTGATTTGATAAGACCTGAAGAATCTTTTATTCTCTGCAATCGTCTCAAGATACAAATTTTGTCCCTGTGGTTGGGACAATCAACAACTTCATTTTGTTTTGAGTTTTCAATTGTTTCATATCGAGTTTTAACCGGTAAAGCATATCCCAGCTTCCTCCCTCTCTGTATCGTGATCGGTATATCAAGGGTATTCAACAAGACACTGACGCAGAGGCCGCTCTTCGTTATCGAAAATGATCTTCCTAAAACAGCAGCGCTTTGACTATTAGGATTTGGAACTATACACACTTGCTTGTTGTCACTTAGTTCATTATAATTTTTCATCCTCAAGCTTACGATTGCCGCTTCATTAGCTTTTAACCTCACTCTCCTACTCAAGAATACCGGTGCTTTGTTTTCATTTGCCATTATTAAATTTACCGGTTTGATTGCGTACCTCCTATCCGGGTTCCGTATCCTGAACATTGCATTATTTAGATCAATCGTTACGTCGAAATTCCTGATGAAGTCTCTGCCCAAAATGAATTGGTCAGATTCATCTAGGTTTTCTACCACGATGAAGCTCATCCACAGGTTACGTTCCCCCAAATTGAGAGCTATTATCGGCGTCCTGCCCAACACCCGAAGGGCCCCTTTGTTTGCAGCTGACAGCCGTATTCTAGAGTCTATCAAGTCACCTTTGTCAAAGCCCATTTTTTCCCATGTTTCGATTGGTATGACGCTCAAGACTGCTCCCGTGTCGAGTAATCCACGTAACTGAGTCTTTTTGCCATTTATGTCTAGCACGTGCCCTGTCACGTCTGCTTCCGTCCCGATGTGCATTGCATCTTCTTCGAGCATAGCGCAGTGTCCAATCGATCTTACTTTCAATTCTTCTTTCCCTACATAGATTTGTCCAATTAGGTCTTCGTCGCATGTTATCATCGTCTTTGTATAGATGTTGATTCCATCTATATTTAGCATGACCTCGTGTGGACCATAAGCTTCAGTGTACCTATTATCAACACGTACCGATTTGCTGCCCCCTCTCGTGAGTAGTGCCCTGAGCGCTCTAGAAGTCGTTTGTGGACTTATTCCACTCAAGTAATCTGCATACACGTCAATGTGCATTATCGTCTGGTCGCTCGGCTCGCTCAAGTTTCTGGTTACCTCGTGTCCGCCCACTGTGATTATCGACATTATTCTTGCTCCGATTTTCGATATCCCAAAAGGTTTACCTGTCACCATTTTCACGGTGTTACAATTCCCGGTCTTCATTGAGCCCGTTCTAGCCTCTGGTATTGAGTTCGATCCGGTTAATGCTTCGTTAAAATTCTGTCTTTCGATCTCCAACTTTAGTCGTTGCTCTATTTCTTTCGCAGCCAGATCTTGTTTCACTTTGGCAATTGCTTCCGTCGCCGCTTTCTCATAATTTATCTCTAGAGAGCTTCCGGCCGCGGACTCTAACGCACCGCTAACATGTGTAACAGCTTTCACTGTCTTCGTCGGCAATTCGGTGTTTGGTGCCCCCAAGTTCCTAGATTCAAACTCGTTTTGCCTGTTCCGCTCGTTTTGCCTGTCCCAGGAGCGCCATAAAAACACTATGTAACATTCGTCTACTACAGTCACACATGAGGCTCAAGAAAAATAGGCCCTATAACCACTGGCTCAAGGGTCAGGGACACTATCTCTTGTGTTTTTCCACCTCAAGAACGGTCGGAGCCAGTTCGGTTCGCTTGTGACATGAGACTACGACCCGTTACAGCTTAAAGGCTACTACTAAAATATCCCCCCACTCTAGAATTAGAAACGTCCCCATACTTAGGTCTCTAAATACCCAAAATACATGAACGCCGTTAAAAACCGGGTTGGAACAATCCGTTAAGTTACTTTTTATTAGACAGTGTGACTTTGATCCATTTCAGATGGATCAACCTAAAACTCGCCTCACCTCAACATAACAATTACAAAACACACTCTAGAATTTAAATTTGTACTCACATAGCAGCACGCTCAAGAATTGGGAAATGATCCAGTTGGTAACTAACTCAAGAAATAAATAACTAAAAGAAGTTTAATGTTTTATAGTTTGTACGACAAGGATAAGTCTATGCTCTAGAATTTGAGTTCTCATGGACCGTTGGGACACTCTAGTTGTCCGCCTTTCCGCTGAAGGTTCACTCTGGTCCAGCTTTAGAATAGAACTCCAGACACGACTATCCAACTCGTGGGAATACGCTTGTTTCTGTTTCGAATAGGACAGCTCTACTCTTGTTCACTATGATGGAAATTGCGAATAGCAATTTCCCACTCGTTTTTATCTGACTACTTTCCCGCAATTGTTCTACAATTGTTCTCAAATTGTTCTACAATTGTTCTCAAATTGTTCTGATTTCTTTTTCTGATTTTCAGTTATCGCGAGAAAATCGTGCATGACATGTTCCATTCGAAATTTTGAAAAATTAAATTTCACTTCAAAATCAAGTATTTTCTGCTCTTCTCAAGGTCAAACTTCCAAATATGACCGACTGGCACAAAACATGAGCTTGATGGATTGAGAGACAGTGAAAGGAAAATTGCGCCTGATAAAATGAAGTGACTTGTTAGATGATAACAGCTTATTATTGATAGGTATCATCCAGTTCAAGTCATCAGAGACAAATAAACTAAGGTCTTTTACTACTTTTGAGGCAGTTATGTCCTGGTCGTTGACCATCACATGAGGAGGAAAATTGTCTTTGAAAACAATGAGACTGCACTGATCGTGATTGACTGATAAATCATTTGCAGTACACCAGTTTGTAAAAGAATCAATATCATGCTGTAGAGAAGTAACATCAGTAGAAAACAACTTTGAATCGTCAGCGAACAAATAACAACTGGAGAATTAATTACTGAGTAATAATTTCTTCTTGAAAATGACTTTTAATTAAAAAAATTTACCTTTTGATCCAGATTGATCAATTTCGATTAAGTTTACCAAAAATACATCGTGAAATATTTTCTGTAATTGTTAGAGCTTGCAGGTCATATATTTTGTTCTTCAAATTTTGGATTATGATGATTTCTTTCTGGTTGTTTTCTTGCGTTCAAAATTTTTCGACTGACTGTTGGCTATGTTTGAGTTAGAAATGATGAAATATCAGCGATTCTTTTTTGGCTTTGGGCGAATCAAAGATTTTCGGCTATCGAGTTTTAAAAAAATGGCTATTCGGGAACAAATTTTACTTCTAACTGAGATCGACTATCGTTTTCGGGTATTCGTTCCATGATACGCCATTAATTCTACTTCTATTTGGTGTCATAGAGCTGCATTCTCGGAAAGCCCAAAATGTTTGCTACGCTTGCAATAGCAAATGTGTTGCAACCGGGTATCACACTTTTTTCATACAGAACCTATGTTCACAGGACTCATATCCTGAACTCTGTTGGAAATTTTGCAACAGACGTATTGAGCATTTTACAATTTAAACTATCCGTCTATTCAAAGTATGTAATTTTTCAGGGTTAATTTATATTTTTGGCTTAATTAATTTCGACCTTTGCGATATCGGCTTTGTGGTTCATATTGAGGCGTTTTGTGACTGAAAAAGTTTTCTGTGTGCGTGTGTTTGAGATAAAAAGGGATTTGATTTTTTTTCGTTTTAAGCCAGTTGTTTGCAGTTGAGAGTTTCTGCTCAGGTATTTTCGGCTTTTTACCGCATGGTAAGTTCTCTCCCGAAGCTAATTTAATTTATTGAATCATGGGTTGCAATAATCCTACTGTCTATGCTCTGAGGGTCCGTATCTGCTCTGAGTGTCGCAGATACGGATCTTAATTGACGGTTTTAGGCATAGAAAGTTAACATGCAAATCACTGTGAAATATGGCCGGTATGGATTTTCGAATTCCTGAAACTAGGAGTTTTTGTTTTAAGTTAATGCGATGGGCAAGTGGAAAAAAGTTAAACTTGATGACGCTTTTGCATCTGGGTGGGACGATAATGCTTTTTGCCTGGGAATAGAAGAGTTCGATGAAACTGATTTGAAGAACGATCCGAAACCTGTTCAAGATGAAAGTCAGTTTCCTGGAAATGCCAAGAAGAGGAAGAAGACCAAAAAACTGGAATCTTTGAAGGAGGAACAGCAGAATATAACTAAAAAATCTCGTTTCTCAGAGAGGCAAGTTTCGATATCCAGTGAAAAGAAGAAAGCCAAGTCTAAAGTTTCAAATGATTTTTTCGACAAGGAGGGAAGTGATGTTGAAGATACAGTGGATTTGACAGCCAGTGTAACATCGGAAATTAATACAAAACAAACTTTAAAAGATCAGTCGGATAAACTATCTGATAAAACTATTGTTGTCAAGGATAGAACTTTAATTAATGAAAAACTGGCCAAAGTGACAAAAAAGAAGAATAAGAAAAAGAAAGCTAAGGGAGGTTCTGTCAATGAAGCAACTGCTCACGAAAGCTGGGCTGAAGTTGGAAATAGGGTTGAAGAAAACGTTCGAGATCAAGAAACCTCACCCGACAAAGTATGGAAAGATGTCTGCGGAGTTCCAGCTTCGGTTTTAGATAATTTGCAAAGACTGAAGTTTATAACTCCTACTGAAATTCAAAGAAAAATTTTACCGATTGCAGTTGACGGAAAATTTGACATCATTGGAGCCGCGGAAACTGGAAGTGGTAAAACTCTTGCCTACGTCATTCCTGCTATAAAGCGCATTTTAGAAGTAAGATCTGGCTCTGGTCAAGTGAAAGGACCTAAAGTTCTGATTATACTACCTACGAGAGAACTTGCAGTGCAAGTCACCCAGCATGTAAAAGAGGTTATAGTGGGAGTTGTGCCGAAGATAAGCTACGTGACTATTGTAGGTGGTCTCGCTGTTCATAAACAAGAAAGAGTTTTGAAAAAAGGAGCACCAGATATAATTATCGCAACTCCTGGAAGACTGAATCAGCTTCTGAATGGAAGTGATATTGAGCATCTAAGCTTGCTGATGAATGTACGTTGTTTAATTTTGGATGAAGCGGATCGACTTTGCGAGGCGGGTCATTTCAAAGACTTGGAAAACATTTTGAAGTTTGTATACTCAAAGAGTAAAGCGAATAACGAAGAGTTGGACGAAGAAGAACTTGCAACAGAAAGTAGAAAGGTTCGTAAAAAAAGGCAAACGTTGGTACTCAGTGCTACATTGACTGTTGCGAATAAAAATAGTGCGCTCGGTAAATCAATATCTTCAGATCCAACTATAGCAGCAATTGCTCCAGTGCTGACTAAGTTAACTTTTTCAAATCCACTCAAAGTTGTCGACATTACACGATCAGTGGTAACTGCTGAGAATTTAACTGAGCAGAAAATTCTTTGCGAAGCTGACGAAAAAGATCTTTATTTGTATTATTGTTTGAAAACTTTACCAGAAGGACGCAAGCTAATTTTCGCTAATTCCATTGATCATATTCGTCGATTGCATTCACTGTTTACTTTGTTACAGTTTCCATGCAGATGTTTGCATGCTCATATGCAGCAACGTCAAAGACTTAAAAATTTAGAAGCATTCGCGAAGTCTGAAGACAGCGTTTTGTTTTGCACCGACGTGGCGTCCAGGGGACTTGATATTAAAAACGTGAGACATGTCCTGCATTACCATCTCCCTAAAACTTACGAAACGTACGTGCACCGAAGTGGCCGAACTGCTAGAAGTGGTTTAGACGGTACCTCGATAATGCTCGTGTCTCAGCCAGAAGTTAAACTGTTTGTTAAAATTTTGACATCACTTAATAAGAAGGAAGACAGCATTGAAACTATTCAAATTGATGCCAAGATAGTTAAAAATTTGAGTTCGAAGTTACAAGTTGCTCAAGAAATTGAGCAGATTGAACATCGAAACCAAAAAGTGACTAAGGAAAAATCTTGGGTTTCTAATTTGGCCAAAGAGATGGATATTGAGTTCGAAGAGGATGAAAAATTGACAGAACACAAATCGACCAAAAAGTTGGAAAATTTGAAAATGCAGCTCAGTCAAATGCTCGCTATGAAAAGTGTCGACAAGCCAGCTGTTAATATAAGAAACCCTTGTGCATATATATCAGACTTGAATTAATTTTCTCAGCTCAGATCTTTTCAACTATCTCGTGTTGCTGTCTCATTGTGTAGTTACGTTTAAGTGTCATGACAACTATTTTAACACGTTAATTAACTCATTCAAGGGCACATAATGAATTGATGCTCTGTTTGTGAATTTCAAATTTTGTTTTTCATTATAGCAGTAATTTTGTTAACAAGTTCATTTTGTGTAGTTTTTCACGAATTTGTTGTAGTCCACCTCTCCCTCTTCGTTCACTCCGGTGTCGTCCACCCAGAATTTGATTTCCTCCTCGTCGAAACTCTTGTCGAACTCCTTCATTTTTTCCTCCAGAACTTCGGGACTGTACTTCGGCAAAGTGTTACAACAGTTGCATTGTTGGTGATTTGTATAAAAAAAATATATATATATTTGGTTTGCCGTTTCGTGAGCCGGAGTTTCAATTTGAAATTTTAACAAGACTGCTCGTATCAGGGCGAAGCCCTGAATGTTCCGACTGCCTTTTAAGGATTTATGGAGCAGTAACAACATTAAAAAATTAAATGTAATAAAATAAAATGAAGTTTTTTTTTAAATTTGAATATTTTTATGAAACTCATCCCCCCACACGCCATATGAAGTACAAAAAGATAGATTTAGCTCCTTGTAACAAATCAATTATGGCAAATAAGCTTCTTGCAACCAATTTGGAACGATTTTAAGACGGATTAAATCTCCGCTTACGCGTTAATAGCGCGAAATATATCGCGCGTTAATTGTCTCAAATTGGCCAAAATGGCAATCTTTAAACCCCCGTAACTTTACGACAAATGATCACAGGTGAAATATCTTTTCAAATTTGAGCTCAGGACAACAATACTTTTTGAATGTTATTAAAAAATTCCGTCAAAAATGGCTAGTTAAAAAGTCGAAAAAAAAAACCCACCCGAGCACAAATATTCCGTTACTTTCGTATCGAAAGTCGGAACAATAATGGTAATCCAACTAGTAATTATCGGAAAACAGTAAAGTCTTCACTAATCGATTTAAGGCCATCAGATTGTCCCCATTGTTAATACATATGATTATAGTTTAACCCCAAAAATTATAGTATAACTTATGCTTTTCGTGTCTTATGATAACTATTGTAGCACGTGACCTGAGGTATCCTTTCTTGTCTGGGTCTGCCTCTTCAAGTTTCTTGAGGAGCTTCTCGTTGCTCTCTTGCGATTTATGGACTGAGAGGATCTGAAGGAAGTCTTCGAACTCGTACTCTTCACACGGAGTCACGTCACAGTCCTCTGGAATAGAAAAGATTTTCATGATTTTTTCTAGAGAAATCTGTAGTCTATTTACATTTGATAGTTGACCTGGTTCTAAGAAAGAAATTGAATTAATTGATTAATGAAAACTGCAAGAAAATAGGTTTTGGTGCTCTTTACTTTCATTTGTTTTGTAAATGAAAGTTCAAATTTTCATTCAAATTCTTATGAATTTAGATGACTCAATGACTTATTTGACGTTTTCGAAAACAATTTACTTTAAGTTCAAATTCCTAGTAACTTCATATTAACTTAACATACTATAAGTTAACTTCCGGTATTTTGGAATGTGGCTTTAAATTCGGTTCGGGTTAGTGTTTTTGGGTCGTTCATGTGAATGCGAAATTGTATACCGAGTAGTTTCTTGACTTGATCGCCCGTCCACTCTTTAGTGTCAGTCGCGATCCCCATCAGATTGGCCATCCTTTCCACGTCAATGGTCCCTTTCTTATCCTCCTTGTCTATCTGGCAGAACTTCTCATACAAATCCTCGATTTCGCTTTCGGTCGGCATGTCCGCGAAGATGTTCATGTTAGTGTTGCTGCTAATTGAGAACTTCTGCTAAAAGCTGTTTCGTTGTCTGGCTGTCCTTAACGTCCAAGTTGTAACTTCTGATGTTTGACTTTTGAACCACAAGTCAAAATGAAGCCTCTTTTGATAGCGAACGTGGTGATTAGAAACTTCGATTGAATGTTTCAATTTTTTCGTGTTCGGAGTGTAGTTTGGGCTTCTAGATCAGATTAACATCACTTGGTTGGGAGTTGTTTTTAAAGCGCTGTTTTTAATGCAAAAAATGATAGTTGAATTTGATGTTTTTCTGCTTAAAGTAAAATGTGAGCTTTTTCAGAGCGTGTTGGTCGTATGTCCCGGGAGTTCACTAGCTGGGCCACCCAGAATGGGCTCAAAACAGACTCGACCTACATCTGCGACGACAGGACATCAGGCAGGTGTCTCCGGGCATCCCGCAACATCCGCAAGGGCGAGAAGCTCCTCTTCTGTCCGCCTCGGTTCATCATCAACAACCAGTTCATAATCGGCAACACCAAAGTTGGAAAATACGTGATGCAGTATCCACAGGAGCTGGACCCCATGCAACTTATGATGGCATTTCTCATTCTGGAGTTTGACAAAGGAGACGAATCCAGTTTCAAACCGTTCATTGATAGCCTGCCGAAGAAGTTTTCTCTTCCAGTTGTGTGGAACCAAAGTCTTGGACAATTGCTTCCGACAGAAATGAACAACAAGTATTCAGACTTTTGCGAGTATGTGAATGCTTGCTCCTCGAAGTTGAAACGAATGGCAGACGAATATAATCTGAAGATCAGTTCGAATGATATAATATGGGCATTTTGTTGTGTGAACACTCGGTGTTTCTACGTTGCAGAACACATGAATCCACTCCTCGACTGCGCGAAGATCAAGAACAACATGGTTCTGATTCCATACCTGGACATGTGTAATCACAGTCCGAATGTCGCCACTGATTATGATGTGAATGTTGACGGGTGTGATATATTTGCTACAAGTGACATCGAACAAGACTCGGAGATCTTTCTGCATTATGGGGCGCATAACAATTACGTGCTCCTCATCGAGTATGGGTTCGTGGCCTCGAGCAATCCACATGATTGCGTGATCTTCACTCGTGAAGATCTGATTTCAGCGTTAGGAAGCTTCAGTGACAAGTTGGAACCTTCGAATGAGTTTCGGAAGCTTTGCGGGAAGGAGCTGTTCTTTGTTTCGGAAGGTGAACCAAGTTGGACTCTTATTACAATGCTAGCAGCGCTGAAGACGAACGACTTCGACTTCTTCCTGGGCGAGTATTTCAGAGGATGTCTCGAGTTTCCGAGACAGCCAAATTTATTGCGAAAGGTGTGCGAGTATAAACGAAAGCAGTACGAGAAGCAAATAGAACAGTTGAATAATTTAACATCGGAGTCGGATGATGATAAATGTCATAGTGGCATTCTTAGAAGCATGTTGGATTCTCGAATCCAGATCTTGGACGATCTTCAGATCTGAAAGAGATGAAAAAGAGACGCTAGGTGGAGCCTAGTTGGCACAGCTGCTGTGCTAACTCACCAAGTGTGCCTGTTAGTGTTAGCAACTTGTGCTTGAATATCACTTACCAATTGCCAAATGAACAAACAAATCAATAAACCTTAGTACAAACAGACACACCAATTGACCTTGGTCGACCTTCGTCCGCCCGACCACCGGACGAAGATAGTTTGACCTTCAACTAACACTGGTCAGCAGATTAGTGCTATTCTCTACTAAACCGACACACAGCAAAGCACGTTAGTTGTGAATCTTCTCTTCCCGACCGCTTCCAGTGAGAAAGAATGCTCGAAATATTTGCGCGCTTTATCGTTGAAGCATTAATAAAGGCTTTATTCTTCATCTTACGTTGCCAAAGAGGCGGAGCTGTTCGCTTATAGTGGAAAACTGACTAAGATTGTTTTATTTAAGAGTCTAATTAAATGATAAGTTATGTTCATTTTTCACTTAAGTTCAATTATAATCCAAAATAAATTTTTATCATTAATTTCATTTTTCTATCTTAAACTAGTGAGCTTGACTAGCTACTCGAGTTAAAACTCACCGCGCCAGTAATGAGATACATTTATAATTACTGTTTATAAAAAAAACCTTTTGATTATTGAGCAACTTCACTGTTTTCGTAAAAGAAAGACATTTATCCATTTTTTTTTTAATTGTTAACGCTTTTGTTATTAATTTGTCGTATTTTCACATGGCATGTAATTGTTCAAAAGATCATTAATGTTTTCTAAAAAGTATGTTCAGTTTTTAAATCAAAAGTGGCAACATCTTGAATCTGAAGCTTTAACTCAGCAAGACTTATGTTTGAATTAGATAATTTATTTTTCGCCATCTGAAGCGTCCTTGCCATGTCATGCTGGTGAGTAAATTAAAGATAATATTGAATGCACAAACGATGCAAATTTGTTCTGACAGTATTTGGCTTGGCATTCAAATTTAAGTTTTTAATAGATTGGTTATCAGTTTTTTTTAAACCCTTTCAAGTTCGTTTTTGAATGTATCGAAGAACAACAAATGGTTTTCAATCATTAAACCTTAGTCCAAAAACAATGCCTTTATGAACTAATGGCGAGCGCGACTATGGACACGGGTATTTTTCTTCGCAAAAAATCAAATGCCATGAATAAAAATTTGATAGGGTTGATTTATGCCATGTTTATGCTTGCGATTAGTAAGCGTTATCAATCGGAATAGATTTTTTTCGGGTTAACAACTTGCTTAACAGAATCATTTGAAACACTTGAATTTTGGTCCATAATGAATTCAGTCCGGCACTAAGCCTTGGATTATATTCCTAAATTCTTTGTTATTATTATTATTATTATATTCTGTATTACGTGAACAGCTAACGATTGTTCTTTCTTGAAAAAAATTTAAAAGTCCATTTTTGTCGATAATAATCACGAAGTACACTACCATAAAGCTCTTTCAATGTGAAGTACTACGATTAACAGATTTTTTATAGGAATTGAATAATTTTTAATTGAATCTTATCGGCCGAGGCTTCAATAAATAAATCTACTTTTGAAACTAGCAGTCTAAAGGAATTTTTTGCGCCATATCATTGTTTTTGGAAAATCGAGCCTCGAAAGAAATCCGCTATAATAGAAAGCGCGAAGACTTGGAAAAAAGACAAATCTAATAGCTGAATTTGTTGGGTTTAGTTTTCTGTTGTTTTTCAGATGACGCATGTCATGTCTTCTTATGAATCCCCAGTTTTGTTGGTTGAATCTGTAAATGTGATCAGTTGTTACCTTGGTTGTGATGGGTCCAAGCACAGATGTTCTCTAGTATCTGAATGAGGCGTAGTAGTGCGCCTAGTCAAGTTCTTTTGGCAACATCGAGTCCGAAGCCATTTGTTGCCAACAAGGAAAACAAATTAGTCTCTCGTCCTGCAGTTGCTCAAGTAGGAAACGCTTCTAAGAAACCAAAGTTAGCAAATAACCAGGACTCCAATACGAAGCCAGATGATAGCGTTGTTTCTCTGTTAGAAAACAGCCAGGGCTCTCAAGATAGTCACGATGATTCGATTGAGAAAATTCTGAAGAAGCCGTTTCGGATTCCGATTTTCAACTACAATGGTCCGACTCTAGGCAGGTTGGTGTACTTTTTGTATTCAAAATAACCCCAAAAAATTGAGTATTGACTTCTGATCCATTCAACTCATTTGGTTATTAGTTTGTCCCCCTTCGTACTATTTTGATATATCCATTTTTGGCTGACTGACTTTAAATTTTTTCTAAAGGCGCTTTTGGCGCAAATATGGGGGTTTGGCTGAGAAAAAATTCCTGTGGGGCAGAAAATTTGGTCGAAAAGGTCTTTATAAGGATTGATTTTTAGGTAAAGATCAACTACTGAAAGCATATAACGCTTATGTTAAACCCATTTTACAATACGGGGTTCTGGCTTATGCGTCAACAGACCAAACTAAATTAGAAACAGTTGAACTTAAATTTAAACGACTTCTGAGAGTTATTTGCTTTAAGAGAAGAAATGAGAGCATACAAGAAATAAGACAAAAACGAAAAAACTACTTCGTAAAAAAAAATAAAAATATCTATGAATTATTAAAGTTGCTATGTAAGATTTTGAGAAAAGACTGTATATCGACCATAGTTCAGGAGGCTGTAACTGAGAAAAATATGAATACATTTTTGAATAAGAGAGTTTCAGCTAGGCAGATACCTGTGCACACAATGGAAAATCAAAAAACTTCGATAAATATTAGAATTAGAAAAATGTTCAACTTTGTTTTGAAATACTACTTAGATTTTGTACCCTGGATTCAGAGATGCACAGAATAGCATTTACAAATCTTCAGTCAGGTTTTTCGGGACAATTTCATTCTACGAAATTATCAACAGGTTAAACTCATTTATGAGTAGAAATAACATACCAAACATTTGGTCGTCAAGGTTAGGTATACTGCTGAGTTTTTGCCCTTTTTTTGCTTTCCATTTTTTTGCACCAAATCATTTTCTTTTTGATTAACTATCGGTATTAAAACCAATAAAAGCCATACCAGGATCAGAGGCTCCTGAATACGGGCTGCTAAGTTCCACGGCGTTCTCGCGATGAGATTTCTTTTGGTCGTAAATGTAGTAAATTTTACTGTGAATGGAATCTATATTGGAAACACTTTTTTATTATTGTTATTATGATTGTTTGGGAGAGCTCAGAGAATCATTTTGGTCGGCTAAAAAAATCGACACCAAATTATAGATATTTTAAAATCCGCCCCCTCCGCTTTCGAGAAAATCCTAGATCCGCGCCTGGGAGATAAGCAGAAAAGTTCAGATATTTCAGAAAAAGTAAAACATTGTCATCAAACGTTTTCTTAACAAAGTTGTAAAATTTATATATACTTACAATGACAATATATACCTAAGTTTCCTAGTTCACTCATTTTAAAAAGCGTCAAGTGAAATAATCTTTATCAGACTCCAAAATTCTATCGAGCTTGTTTTCTTTTTTCAATGCCTCTAATCAGGGGCGGATCTAGAATTTTCTCGAGATAAGGGGATTTTCAGAAATTTTGTCGACCTTTTTTTTTAGTCGACCAAATTGATTTTCTGAGCTCTCCCAAGTCACTGTAAATACACCGTTTTGACCAAATTTTTTAAAGCAGGTAAGTTTTTGAAAGGCGTTTTAGGCGCTTTTTGGAAAAATTCGACCAAAAATACGTGTTTTTTCGGCGCGCGCTCCCCCCTCAATTTTTTTTTGGCGCCAAAGGCGCTATTAAATTTTTTTTGGGTACCTCACCAAAAATAGATATCTCAAAATTGGGTCGGTTGGGGGTCGAATCCCTGAGGGCGGGGGGAGTTGTCCATCCCCCCCGCCCTAAATGCGCTACTGCCTCTAATGGCTTTGTTTGAGAAAATTGCTCTTACTGTCAAGCTTTAATGTTTTTTTTCTTCCAGCTGTAGCAAAATAAAATGTACATAAATTTGAAGCGTATGATGTTTACAATGGTAAGTTTTCATGTTTTCATTCTTTCAGGAGGGTTAAAAAAATTACTATAATGTACCTTATTACGTAAGATGTACTACAAAAGTTTAAATAATTTAATATAATTACAGTAGTTTCTTTTTCTGAAAGGTCATTGGGTATCAAGAGAAGTGGGTGTAAGAGTTCCCTTCATGATCCGAATGGGGAGAATGCTCTCGTGTTGTACTGGCCGACTGAGTTGAGTGAACACGACAAGATGAACAGTGATGCGACTAAACAGGAAGTGCATGTAGTAGTCGATCCCATCCTCTCTAGAGTTCTAAGACCACATCAACGAGAAGGTATGCACTGATTTTTTTAGGTACTAGTTTACTTGTTTGGTCCCTCAAAAATGTAGGTTCGAATCCCGTGCTGGCTTTTCATTTTAGAATATAAGCGGGTCCAATCATCTGAACTAGTTGTCACGGGACCAAACAAGTAAACTTAGTACCCTTTTATTAACAGGTAACTCTGTTCGAAAAACGAAATGATCACAAATTAACTTCTTAGTCTGCATAAATCGAATTTAATTCTGGTTAGGAAAAGGAAACCAAAAATCATTTTGCTGTCTGTATAGCATAGAATGTGCGACCTCTTTGGTTGACTTAGTCTAGTTAATTGGTTGTTTATTTCGATTTTTAACTCAAGGATTTTGTATTGGCTTCAAATTTTAAAAATTATAATCGAGCCAAAAACTTTTTATTGGTACTTCTTGAGCAGTTAACGAAGAAAATTACCCAAGAAAAAAGTTTGTTCTTTAGTTTTTGTGTATTTTCCAGTAAACCGCAGTTTTATAGACCGTTAGATGCTTCTATTGAATGAAAAACATAATTCCTGTTTGATTTATTAAACAGGTATTATGAAAACGTTTTTTTTTTTCCAGATGAGATCTGGTTTTTTTTTTTATTTTTTATTTTTATTTTTTTTTTATTTATTTTTTTTTTGAGACGCTTTTTCGAAAAATTCGCTTTCTCAAAAAACTACCCGTCAGATTCTCATAAAAGTGGTACCAATGGACTCAGTAGCGTTTCACCTACCTGCCTGCATAAAATTTAGAGCAATTTTTACCATACCCCACCCCCTACGGTCTTAGAAAAGCTTCACAACTCGGTACTTTTTTCACTTCTTGCCCATTTTTGCGGAAATTTTCGATTTCCTCAAAAACTACCCGTCCAGATTTGGGATTAAGGGTTTAATCGATAGACCAGGTTGTAGGAACCCCCCATGCACAAGCGGCTGGTCCCTAATTTGCTTAGGGGAAGAGCTATAGACTTAGGAAAAGTCACTTTTTTGATTTTTTTGCCTATTTTTTCGGAAATTATCGATTTCCTCAAAAACTACTCATCCAGATTTGAAATTAAGGGTTTAATCGATAGACCAGGTTGTAAGAAACTCCAACGCACAAGCGGCTGGTCCCTAATTTGCTTAGGGGAAGAGCTATAGACTTAGGAAAAGTCACTTTTTTGATTTTTTTTGCCTATTTTTTTTGAAATTATCGATTTCCTCAAAAACTACCCATCCAGATTTAGAATTAAGGGTTTAATCGATAGACGAGGTTGTAGGAAACTCCCCGCACAAGCGGCTGGTCCTTAACTTGCCTAGGGGAAGAGCTATAGACTTAGGAAAAGTCACTTTTTTGACTTTTTTTGGCCTTTTTTCAAATCTTTCCGATTTCCTCAAAAACTACCCGTCCAGATTTGGGATTAAGGGTTTAATCGTTAGACCAGGTTGTAGGAACCCCCCATGCACAAGCGGCTGGTCCCTAATTTGCTTAGGGGAAGAGCTATAGACTTAGGAAAAGTCACTTTTTTGATTTTTTTGCCTATTTTTTCGGAAATTATCGATTTCCTCAAAAACTACCCATCCAGATTTGGAATTAAGGGTTTAATCGATAGACCAGGTTGTATGAAACTCCCCCGCACTAGTGGCTGGTCCTTAACTTGCCTAGGAGAAGAGCTATAGACTTAGGAAAAGTCACTTTTTTGGCCTTTTTTCAAATCTTTCCGATTTCCTCAAAAACTACCCGTCCAGATTTGGGATTAAGGGTTTAATCGATAGACCAGGTTGTAGGAACCCCCCCTACACAAACGGCTCGTCCCTAATTTGTCTAGGGGAAGAGCTATACACTTAGGAATAGTCAATTTTTCGGTTTTTAGGCCATTTTTTCAAACTTTTTCGATTTCTTCAAAAACTACCCATCCAGATATGGGATTAAGGGTTTAATCGATAGACCAGGTTGTAGGAAACTCCCCTGCCCAAGCGGCTGGTCCTTAATTTGTCTCGGGGAAGAGCTGTACACTTAGGAAAAGTTTTTTTAAAAGTTTTTTGGCATTGGAACAAAGATTCAATATACTTATTGTGTGTATTTTTTAGACAATGGAATCCGCTATGCTTACGTTTTCTCGCTTTTGCTTGGTGCTATTGGCTTTGTGTTGAGTTTTTTTGTATGGTTCGAAGAAGTCCAACGAGAAGTTGCACGAGTTACGCTAGTTCTCTTTAATCAGGTCGGTTTGTTCCAGAACGTTTTTGTGATGTCAGTTATATTCAACATATTATAGTCATATTTGCAATGCTTGGACAAAAGCGTTACCAATGAATGCATAAGCTTCTCTTTCACTTTTTTTGCGTAGGAAGGGCGCTATCGACTTGAGAAACCTGAAATTTTAAAACAATTTTAAAATAATCAATATTAAAATAATCAAACAGGTCTCTCCAGCTTTCAGCTGGGCCCCTAGTAGGAATACAGTTTTATAAATAAATTAGGTTTCCTCTTTTCAAGGCTTAGAAAGTTCAAAAGCAGTGTGTGCTTCTAGTTGTTAAGGCGACTTCTTCAAGAAAAACTACAATTACACTTGACAGGGATTGTCAAAATTTGTTTCTTCTCTAACCGGTCTAAGTCAATGCGTAGTTAAACATCTTCAACCAAAAAAATGTGGTCTTTTCTGTTATATGGCCCAAAATGGCCAAATTGTTCGTTCAGCTTCTGTTGTTAATGAAAATCTTGATTTTCTTTTTTTTTAAAGTTGTTAATAGTTTCAGCCAATCAGGTTCGAGATTTACGATGCAGTTTTCAAAATAACAGAAAGAAAAGTTTTGGGCTGTATAACAGAAAAGACCCAGAAAACGAACAAAAATGATAATTTTTTGTTGACTGAAACAAATACTGCCAACATTATGGCATTACTAAAATTATGATTTTCATCAGGTGTGAAGTTTCTCTACGACTGTGTGACTGGAGTGACGATAGAAGGCAGCTATGGGTGCATTCTGGCAGACGAGATGGGACTGGGCAAGTCTCTCCAGTGTGTCACTCTAGTCTGGACTGTGATCAGACAAGGACCCAACAGCACCCCGCTGTGTCAACGGGTATGTTCAGCTCAGCTATGTTCTCTTTCTCAAAAGTTCACTTCATTCGCAGTCCGTCAGATCTCGGGATTTTAAAAAAAATCTTTGAGATAAATATTGGAATGATTGGAGTAAACTTAAAACGGACAAAATTAAATTGAAGTAGTTTGTGGTCTATTTCAAGAAAAAATTCTTATACGAAAGTCATGAAAATAATAGATAGCTCAAGGTCCGCTGCAATTTCATAATTGCTTGCCAGCTGTTCTCAAAATTGGCACACAGCTTCTTTTAATTAATTCTGTCAGTACAAATTATATATATAGCAATTATGTACAAATGTACAAAAGTATATAGCAGTTTTTTTTAAATCAGTTGCAATTTAAGGGAATTTAATTGGATATAACTTAACGTTACTTTGCCAATACTTTAAAAAAAATTCGGGCTAGCTTTTTCATACAGCATTAGTATGAGAAATTTTTTGAAAAATTAATTGTTAGATATGATTAAAATAAATCTTTATATAAGTTAATGTAAGTTATGAGAAGTATATTTTACAGGTGATCATCGTGTGTCCTTCTAGTCTGGTGAAGAACTGGGCCAATGAGTTCAAGAAGTGGCTGCCGAACAGAATCAATGTGCTGACCATAGACAGTGGGGCCAAGGACGAGATAGACAAGAACATCAGTGGATTCATGCGCCAGATACGCATTGTGCAGCCAGTCATGGTCATATCATACGAGACATTCAGACTGCATGTCAACGCCATTAGCACTGGTTAATACACGCTTACGTGTTTCGTGAAATTAATGGAAATATGAAATTCTGTAGAAAAATCGAAAAAGCCGACAATGCTTTTATTCTATCTTCCAAAAATATACCTTAACCAGGGGCGGATCTAGGATTTTCTTGAGGGAGCGGGTTTTCTGAGCTCTTGCAAATCACTATAAAGACCCCATTTTGAGCAAATTTTCTGCGCTAAAGGCAAATTTAAAAAAAAGTGCTTTTAGGAAGTTTTTGGCTAAATTTGTTTTTTCTCTGAGTATATTTTGGCGCCTTTAGAAAAATTTTAGGATCAGTCAGCCAAAAATGGATATCTCAAAGTAGTACAGTAATACAAAGGAGGGACCCTTTGAGTCGGCTGGGGGTCGAATCCCTGAGATGATGATGATGACTGTCTCTGAAATTATCAAGATCTTTTTACTTTTTTTGCTGTTCCTGGCGAAAAGATGTGTCTTTTTACCGGAAAAAATGTGCATCTTCATTGAATTGTTTTTCTTTGCGTGAAAAATTGCGTCTTACAGTATAAAATACAATAGTTTTAATTATTGGTATATTGAGTAGCTGTTGTTTTAAATATTAATACCACCAAATCTAGAAAATTGTTTACAGGAGTGGTGGACTTGATCATGTGTGACGAAGGTCACCGTCTCAAAAACTCCGAGAACCAAACATATCAAGCTTTGTCGAATAGTTCGGCTAAGCGAAGGGTTCTCCTATCTGGAACCCCGATCCAAAACGACCTTCTTGAATACTTCAGTCTTGTCCACTTTGTGAACTCTGGGATCTTAGGAACCGCACAGGAGTTTAAGAAGAAGTTTGAGACTCCGATTTTACGAGGACGAGACGCTGACGCAACTGATAAGCAGAAAGATGCCGGAAATGAAAAATTGCAGGAGCTTTTGGGAATTGTGAACAAATGTATTTTGAGAAGAACTCAAGCTCTGCTAACGAAATACCTTCCAGTGAAATACGAAGAGGTTATATGTTGTAAGTTAACCCAGTTTCAAGCTGATTTGTACAACGGATTCACGTCAATTCTCTGCAATAAACTGGATACGAATTCATCGTCTTTAAGTGCAATAACGACGTTGAAAAAAATATGCTGTCATCCGTCTTTAGTTTACGAAATGTGCAAAACTCAAGATGTGTTCAAAAAATTTCTTCCTATTTTTCCGCCAAATTTTTCGGAGCATACATTGAATCCTAGTTTTTCTGGAAAAATTTTGGTTTTGGATTATCTACTGGCAGTCATCAAAAGTACGACAACCGACAAAGTAGTTTTGGTTTCAAACTACACACAAACTTTGGACTTGTTCGAAAGACTGTGCTTGAAGCGAAACTACAAGTTTGTACGGCTAGATGGTACAATGAGTATTAAGAAACGAGCTAAAGTTGTTGATAATTTTAATGACCTTGCAAGCGAAGACTTCATTTTCATGCTCAGCAGTAAAGCTGGAGGCTGTGGCTTGAATCTGATTGGTGCTAATCGTCTGGTCATGTTCGACCCCGATTGGAATCCAGCCAATGACGATCAAGCTATGGCTCGAGTTTGGCGAGATGGTCAAAAGAAAGTATGCTACGTGTATCGTCTGCTAGCTACAGGGTCGATAGAAGAGAAAATGTTGCAACGTCAAGAGCATAAAAAAGCTCTGAGCAGTTGTGTGGTTGATAATGAAGAAAATGTGGAACGACTTTTTTCGTTGCAAGAGTTGAAATCTCTGTTTCGATTAGACTCTAATACGGTCAGTGATACGCATGAGAAATTGAAATGCAAAAGATGTGTGAATAATATCCAGTCTAAATTACCACCAGAAGACAGTGATTGCAATTCGGATTTGTCCCTGTGGAATCACTGTGCGAATAAAAAAGACTTGATCGATTTGAGTCTGAAGCAGGTTTGGGATAGTTGCCCGATATCGTTTGTGTTTTACCACAAGTCGCATACACAGAAAACCACTGTTTGATGTGACTTAATGATTTGAATAATTATTTCTGTTGGTTTGTTGAATGAAATTTTTAATTGATAAGCAATTTTGTCTGCTAGTTTTCCAAAAATCCAGTTGAAGAGTAAATAAAAAGGCTCTAAGCACTGGCGGATTTAGGGGGATTCGACCCCCTGCCGACCCAAAGGGTCCCCCCTTCGGTACTTTTTAAGAAATCCATTTTTGGCCTACCGACACTAAAATTTTTCTGAAGGCGCCTTTGGCGCCAATATATACTAACTTTGAGGGGGAGCGCGCGCCTAAAAACCGCAATTTTTTGTTAAAATTTTCCAAAAAGTGCCCATAATGGCTTTTTTACGTCTTTTTTCAAAAATTTGCCCGCGGCGCTGAAAATTTGGTCAAAACAGCTCACTTTTAGTGCTTTAGGAGAGCAGCTCGGAAAATCAAATTGGTCGACCTAAAAAAAAGGTCGAAATTTTTTTTGAAAATCCGCCAACTTCCCCCCTCGAGAGAAAATCCTAGATCATCCCCTGGCTCTAAGGAATATATTTTGTACCATACTCAACCTCTGCGAGACAATCACAATCCTAGATCCCTCTTTGAGTTTTCGGCTGGATAGCTTTCATTCTATGGCAATGTAACGGCTCTGTCAGAAAAATTGGATTGTCTTAGGCACATTTAAATCAGTACTGGGATGTGTTTTATCGCTTGATAAACTTCAGTTGTGATTACGTAACTCTGAATGTCTTTATTGCTTATGTAACTTCCGTTCTCATTGCGTAACTTCAGTTATTATTATGTAACTATGACGGGCGGAGGTGGCGAGGCGAAGAGCACTAATGCAGTCCAGATATTCGGAAATGTCTTCATATCCTTTATCGGGGCAGGCGTGCTCGGACTGCCCTACGCTTTCAAAGAGGTGAGACTATTCACTGCTTTTCTTCATCTATTTGATGATTTTTTGTTCCAAAAAGATGGATGTTACGCAATAATAGAGGTAGTTATCCGAAAATTTTGCATGGGTCAAATAATGGTCTTTAGAAAAATTCCATTTTTCCAAAAATTCCAAATTAAGAAAAACTCTAAATATTTGAGTCAGAAACTAATATATTCAAGTGAATGTCTAAACTCGTCTAAATGGGGGAGGGAGGGGGTTGGGCATGCGGCCATCACCTTGCACGATTTTATTGTCTCAAGGTCCGAATTTAGGGTCGAAATTGTATCAAACAAGGAAGACTATAAGCGATGCGCAAGTCAACATTATTATTGATTCAGGCCGGATTCCTGGAAGGTGTCTTTATCATGTCAATGGTCGCCATACTAAGGTTAGTGTTTACATAAGCGACGATTAAATACGCTAAGATTACATAACCGATAATTTAATTACACGATCGTCAGTCTCGATGATGTTAATTCAAATCGTCGATGGATCAAACTCGTATTTACAGTCAAAGCCGAATGTTAACGAAATTAATCATAATACAAAAGTGCTCATTTTGTTTGACGTCTGGAACCATTTTTTAAACTCATTTCGCGCCTTAACAAAGTATCAAAAAAAGTCAAATTGACTAAAGTTTCACTATTTTCTGACCAATTAAGAAGCGTAATGTTGACATTAATTTGGCATTACTTGTAAAAAAAATAGTCTCATATTTTGTGCTCTTTTTTAGCACCCAGGCAATGCTGATGTTGATGTCGTGTAAAGACCGTGTTGCTCTGAGGGTGAAAAATAGTGGAGCCATGAACGAAGTATGGCCTCATACTCGAACCCAAGTCACGGGTGAAAACACATTAGTACCCACTCAAACAGTGTCCAATGGCCATCAGGGTTCAAGACATTCGAACGGGGCGAGAAAAGGTCAAGCAGCTCAGACAGGGTTACCAAATCATTCGTTGCTCGCTTTGTCCTCGAGTGAAGAAGATGACGGCGATGGGTCTGATTATGAGTTGATGCCCGTTAGAAAACCAAAGAAAAAAGTAAGCATTTTTTATTGATTTTTTAATCCTTTTTTGAACACAGTTCTTCTTCGGAGTTTTCGTTTCGACCACTTAATGAAATGGAAAGGAACTATGGCTTCGACGTTGGAACCTTTTTCGCGTGATTTCACGAACTTCAGATGAAGCGCGTAGTGGATCGAGCGTGGTGCGTTTTGATGTACCGACTAAAGGAGTTTTATATCTTCTAACAACTAGTACTTGATTACATTTCTCTCAGGAGAAATAAATTCTTTCTTTATTTCTTTTACTGCTCAAAAGCTTCAGCCTATGCTGAAAAATTCGCGAAACGGCCTTCTAATGTTACACATTGCGTTTAATTTGTTTCTCTCAACCTAACCACCAAAAATTTACCTAACTATTAAGAATGAACACAACAGCAGTTTTCTGCTTTGAGATAAACGGCTGGTATATTGGTCATTTCCATCGTGAATGAATCGACTTAACTTAACTTAATTTACATAAAATATAAAAAGTTGTAATAAGTTAAGATTTTGTTAACCAGGGGAGCTAAAGCGGTTAATTTTAATAAACTAAGCAGCTCATGCTATTTTGGACCTCTACGGTCGTCGTCGTTAAATCAACCGTCGTATGATCGGTTGATCCTAAATTTGAGTTTTCGTTTCAGGTAGTTTACTACGAGTCATATCATCACGTAAGTGCAAAACAGTCAACCTATTTTCTTTGAAATCTTATCCCCTTTTAGGTCACGAGGGGTTCCACATTTCCTTCACTGATGTTTGCAGTTTGTTCACCCTTTCATGCACCAACAACCTTTTGGCACCTTAGTGTGGTTGAATCTAAATCCGTTTCATCTGTCCTATATTGCCTTAAAGATAGTTCTGAATCCCAAATATCCAGGCATAAATTTATTCAAGTTGCTTGATCAAAGCACAGCTGAACTGGTGATAGCATGTTTATGGTTTGTTTTGAACAACTCAGGTCACTTTTTCTCTTGAAGCCTGTTGTCTTAGATTGAGACCACCGACTGGAAGATAAATTTGCGACCATAAATTCAATTTAGACCCCCTGAAATATGCCCCCTGTTACACCTACAGGCGTCAGCGGCCACTTTTCCTTGTAGAGATCCAAGAAATGTTTTGAAAACAAATGGCTGCTTGCTTAAACTACATGGCGCCATGATTTGAGCTGCATGTAGTAAACTGTTGCAATTTTGCGATTAATGGATTTTGGGTTCGGACCTGACTTGTCACGACGTCTGCGTGTTTGTCAATTCGCGGAATCAATCGCCCGCCAATTGGGGCTAACTGTTCTAAACGGGGGTTCCTCTTTGGGGTAATATGGTGGGTTTGGTTAGGGTAATCCAAATGGCAGAAAGATCGAAGCGTTAATTAGAAATGAGGGTTCAGTATCAGTAGCTGAAAGAAATATCGAAAGGTTAGGCAAAATATTATCAAAAGCTGAAAAAAAAATTATTCAAAATATTGAGAAAATTTTTTTAAAAAATCAGTTTTTTCGCAAAAAAAAATATTTGGAACTATCTAAAATTTTCTGCTTCTCCGTATTTCTGCCAGGAGATTAGTCCCAGCTTTGATCTCAATTGAACCACGTCAGTTGAACTTGTCAATGTATGATTAAAGAGTTAAGAGAACATACATTGTGCCGCCTGTTGCAACTGCGTAAATGACGCCTGCTGCAGTTGCAAGGGTAAATAAAGAAGTCATGTACATAAACAAATCATGTGCTTATATCCTGAAGCACAAATTGTTTAATTAGTTAGAATTAGAGATATTGAGTTGAATCTTAATTAGCTGTTAGTGAAAGGTGAAAGCATAAACTGAAGTTGTGCTAGAGTGAATAGAGAAACTTAATTCTATTTTTAAATGAAGTGCGAAAGTGTAGGACTCCTGAATTTTAATTTTTAGAATTTAGGATGTTTTTGCTTTAGCTGAAGAACAAAGATCTGGATTACGCGGATGTAGGTAAGCTCCAATTATTCTAACCTTCCTAAAAACATTTATTAAGATTTCAGATATAACCATTAAAATAATTGAAAATGAAAAATATATCAGTTCAAGTTATGTTAATAGTTTTTTTTTGGACGGCATACGAGCAGACGTGTGCTCGATGTTGAAAAATAAGCTCGGCTCTTAATCATTTCTCGATAACCGATCTATGTACATTATCGTTTTTGAATTCTGTCGCTAAACAGTTATGAAAAACAGAATTTTGTGTTGTGATCTGATTGCCCTCGCGTAGTTGCAATTAAAGCAATTGGACTCCCAATGAGAATTTTTCTGTTGCGATTAGTTTTTCATAAAACGAACCAGTAACAAACTAGCAGAAAATCACTGAATCATTTGAGGCATGTTTTTTACACAAGCTGAGCGATACAATTAAAAGTTCTCATTAAATTGGTAGCACTTTTGCAGCTATTAGAGATTTGGTTTATTGTTAACTGATGTTTGAAGAATATCAAGCAAACATAGCGCAGATTCTAGCAAATTTGTCTCATAATCTCTAAGTCGAGTGGTCGATTCCGGCACAACAGATTTTTTCATTAAATCTACGTTTTCTTGCATTTGTTCACTTTTTGACTCTTTCTTATCTACGTGAAATTATGAGCCCACTCAATTTAAATGAAAAATTTTATTTGAATCGAGCAATTTAAATTGAAAAAAATTTAAATTGCTCCGGCGGTATTCGATCCGACGCGAAAGTAAAAAATAGTCTCATCATTTTTTTTTCCACATTTCGCTGTTCCGCGGAAAAGCAATAAATCTTAAAATTTCACGAAAAATGTGATGAATTTTGAAACAAATAGATATGCACAAAAAATTGCTATGGAATTCTTTTCTTAAATTTGCGAAAAATCCCCAAAATTGGCAGAAAAACTGCTAAAAACAGACTAAAGAAAATTTTAAATTACTTGAAAAAAATTCAATAGTTTCGGAAAAATTTAAATTGAAGCCAACAATTTTTATAATTTTTTTTTATAATTTAAATTTAAATGGACATCACACTGATTTAGGTCTTTGTAACTGCTTCTGACATCCAGTTGTTTCTTTTTACTCGGATTTGATGAACGTAAATGATACTCATATATAGGTCTCTATGATTTTTTTTTATTTTAAACTTACTTTAAAACGTTAGAAAAGTCTTAAAATTTGTTCAGACTACATTTTTTTTGCGGTTTGACTCTTGATTTTTTCCAAGTTCAGTTCAATTTATTGTGAGTAAAGGAAGGAAAACTCCATTTTTGAGCAGCGAAAGCGTAAAAATCAGAAAAACGTGATCAACTTCTTGTTTCGAAAATGGAATTTAATTTTCAGATTTTCCAGCGTAATATATGTTTTACTTATTAGTCCAGTAGTCTCAAATTGGGTTAATTATATGAAAAAGTGCCCATCGTTATTTGTTCCAGAAATTCAAACAGCTTTAAGGGCATCTGTTTTTTCTTCGAAAATTCAGTTTTAAAAAAAAATGTATTTTTATTTACTGTTTACATGCGTTCATAGACTCTTTTCCCATTGTTTGTTGGCTGTGTTTTTCGAAGAAAACTAGTAAAATATGGCTTAATACATTAGCGAGTTTTAGTTATAGTAGTCTAATATTACGGCTATTCTTTTTTCTAATCTAAGTTGACGATAGCTTTTTGATAGCAGGTGCTTTGACATACGATTAGTAATAAGTTAACGCATTTGATGCTTTTTTAAATCATCAAATAAACCTAAAAAAAATATTTGTTCAAAACAACATAACAGTAATAAAAACAACATAACAATAATTTACACATATTGTGGCTGTATGTTTTCCAATTTATTACACGCAAAGTTAGTGTGCATGCCTTCAGTTTGTTATATTCCAATTTATTACATGCAAAAATGTGTCTGCTCGTATTTTGTGCCACTTTTGCTGCATCGCTTTGGAAAGTTTTAGGCATATGTAGCTGTTTTGTTTGTAAATAAGCTCGCAAGCAGGTTCGAATCTGACGCGTATTAAAGTTCTATTAATTCGAGGCTTATTTCTATTTCTTTTTTCACTTAAAATGCTGCTTTTCGTCATGTTTTTGCTAGTGGTTGCGAAGCAATGCTTCGGCTTTGTGTATTGACAAAAAAAATGCACTTTTGTTAGTTATTGTCTTAGTTTTCTCAGAACGACTCTCCTTGTTTTGAATACCTTTAACAGTCTTAAAAAGTCATTTTCATGTCTTTTGATAAAACATGTAACAGAATTCCAAGAATTTGTGTTTATCTCATTGTTAAGAGTCTATGAGAGTAGTGAAGACTCTTATATAAATTTTAATGATTTTTTTTGTTTTTTTTAAATGGAAGAGTTAAAATTTCAGACTCAAACTTACTTTTTTGCGGTTTGATTTTTGATTTTTCTTAAATTCAGTTCTTTATTATTGTTAAAAGGAAGGTAAAAAGTTTATAAATTTCCCAGCGAAACATCAAATTTACTTATTAATCCAGTTTTCTCATAAAATGTTCATAATGAAGTTCAAGCCGCTCTTACGGCATCTGTTTTTTCTTTGAATTTCGAAAGCTGAGATTTTTCAAAAAACATGTCAGAATTTTATTTCTGTTCACTTGCGCTCTTTGACTCTTTTCCAAATTTCTGTTGGCTGTTTCTCGATTTCCGTTCATTTTCTATTGGCTATCTTGCAGTGATGCACTTGCGTTATATCGCATGTGATTTGAAGATCCGCTCAGGATATGTTTTTCAAGTTTTTGTTTAAAGGAAGGCCAACTCAGCTATCAACAGTTGAAGTATTAAGGTCAAAAAAACGTGATCGCCGTCTAGTTTTGGAAGCGGATTTTTGGTTTTCAGATTTTCCAGCGGAATATAAAGTTTAGCTATTGGTTCAGTTTTCTCAAATTGTGTTTTCAATCATGAATTGTTCCAGAAAATTTAAATAGCTTCACGGCCGTCTGTTTTTTTCTTTGAAATTCGAAAGTAAAGATTTTTAAATAAACAAGTTTGTGTTTTTTTTTGTTTTTTGCTATTAATGACTATTTTTCAATTGTCTGTTGGCTAGGTGTTTACTTTTGCAAGAGCAACTGTATTGGGATCGGTTACTAGCATTTTTCTCCGGTGAAAACTTTGTTCACACGACTCATTTTCTCCGCGGCCAACAGCTGATGAACTTAATTGTGTTTAAAGTACCCGTTTTTCTATTCGAGATTTTTTCTAGTAGATTTTTGGTTTAATTTATCTGTTTTTCCGCTTGAAAAAATACTTTGTTTTGGTGATATTAGTTTATTCGCCTCAAACTTTCGTTTATGAGTACTTAGAATGGGGGTGAGGCTTTTAAACTACTAGTCTCAGAGTACTAAGTTCAAAATTTGATAATAATTTTTGATAGTTTTTTCGACAAGATGTGCCACGCACGGTCCTAGTTTTGTCATCTTAGTTGCCACATTTCAATTTCTGTTTCAGTAGTAATATAACCCACTCATTTTTATTTTTCGTCATATTGTATTTTTCGTCCTTAAAATTGTATTTTTCGTCCTTAAAATTGTATTTTTCGTCCTTAAAATAAGTCACTTTAAAATCGTCCTTTTTCGTCCTAAAAATTTTTCTTAGAAAGATTTTTTTCGTCATTTTTTAAAATATTTGTTTTGACGGAAAAGTTTTGTCTCATTTTATTTTGACTAGCTTGTTATGCAATGTTTGTAATATGACGCAGTTATACTATGCTTGCAACACATGAAATTATCTTTGTCTTCATTGTCTGAATTATGATTATATCCAAAACAAAAACTTGAAGCCAAAAACTTGGTTTTCTTTTTTTTCTAACATGATTCATTCCATCATTTTCGTTGAATTTGTTAAATGAGTCTTGCAGGTGTGTTAGAGAATGGATCGATTGTTTTAAATCTTGAAAACTAAAAATTTTGGGAAAATTTGAAGTATGTTTAGTTTTTTTCACATGGTCGTTTTCATGTCTGAATTATGGCATAAAATTATAACGGCTAATAATTTGCCCATATTAGTCTTCCAAAATCTTAGTGAATCGGCGATTTTTCTTCGCTCGCTTATCACTATTATCACTGCTAATTAACGCTAATGAATTTTTCGAAAACAGTAGTCGCTTAACGCTATCGCAATCATACCTCTCCATGTGATAAGTGTGGAATATGTGGGTAACATTGCAATTATTTCAGCTGAGTTTGCTCTGGGTTACTTTGGCAAACTAACAGTCGAACTATCCCTGGTCGTGTCACAGACAGGTAAATAATTAATTTCATTAATTTGAGAATAGTAGAAGCAGGGCCATAAAAGCAGGAATCTTGATAGTCATCGATAGACATTTATCGCTAGTTTTTTGTTTCAATTTTATTGGTTATCTATTTTCACGATTCGAGATGATTTGATGATATTTTGAAACCTGTAGCTTTTTTGTTTCAATTTTATCGGTTATCTATTTTCACGGTTCAAGATGATTTAATGATATTTTGAAACCTTGAGGCCGGTTAGATATATGAAAAATGTGTGTTCAACGTCTATCGGAGAAGATACTAGAATAATTGACCTAGTTAATTTCGATACAAAATTGCGAATATTTTTAAATAGTATCTTAGTTCTTCTTGGTTCAATTTTGAGAATAAATTATACAGGCTTTCTTAGTTCTTTTTTAAAACTCAAGGATGTCAGGCGAAATTAAAACAGTTGGTTTGCAGACGTCTCTTAATGCGAATAGTTGATTTTTTGGACATTTCAACATTCAAAATCATCAGTGATAATGTTATTAAGAGAATTTATGATCATCGCAGTGACTTTTTACAGTAACAAATATAGATTATCTCTTTATCGATGATTTTTCAGCCCTAAAGTAGAAGTATGGTTGAATTGAACTAAGTCATTGCTGTTTAGGGTTCTGCTGTGCATATCTCATTTTCATACAGGAGAACTTGACCGACTTTGTGCCTTCAATTGAACAGTGAGTGAATAATTATTGGCTCACACTCACATACCCTCTCCTACTTGGATGAAAATTGACGAGAAACTCCGATTATAATTAATGATTCGCACACACTTTTCGATACCTTTAAACAGAATTCTTCACGTTTTCACAAATGTCTTTTATCGAGGAAACTAGTAGCTTTTCTTTTTTTCGTTTGTTTTTTGAGAAGTTCTTGGAATAAATTATCGGAAATAAATCAATACTTCGCCCAAATTTGTTGATATCAAAAAAGGAAACACAAATGTAAATGCTTGATCGATTGAATCTAAACGTGTTGCTAAAACGGATCGTTTTTAGCTTTTTTAGCCAATCAAAATCTACCCATAAAAATTCGTACATATTACAACCAAGTTTACGAAAAGAGTATTATGTCAAAAATTGTAGTAAAAAATTGTGGTCAAAAATTGTGGTCAAAAATTGTGGTCAAAAATTGTGGTCAAAAATTGTAGTCAAAAATTGTGGTCAAAAATATGTCAAAAATTGTGGTAAAAAATATGTCAAAAATTGTGGTAATGATTTTTTTATGGCTATCAAATAAGTAGTTTTAAAAAATTCACAAGTTTTCTAATCTTCTTAAACTTTGGTGAGGCTGACTTTGATAATTTAGTCAGGAATTGAACTGTTAGTTTTGGCGTAATTTTTGATTTACTACAAAAAGCCTAAAATGCTCCGCTTTTGGGGGTAAAACTTTGGTTAGAATTTCGCAAAAAAAATTGCACAATTCTCATTTTATTAAAATGAGCTGTCTTGCACCATGTTAATTATATGCAAGTTTTGATTTTTTTTGTTATACTCAGAAAAATCCAAAGTTGCTTCACTTGTGATTTTTTTCATCAGCGTACTTTGCCGTGTATAAAGTTGCAAAAATTTGGAACATGAAGCTAATAAAAAGAGTAGTCTGATAATTTGATGCAATAAAGAAATTTGAATTTAGTCGAATAATCAAAAATATTCAATAGAATACATATAGATATCCTATTCGACATCGTCTCAAAACGAGCTTACAAGTGCTTTTAGTTTGGGCCGTTGAACTTCCAAGCTACCTTCAGAGATACTCTTTTTTGAAAACCTTATTTTTGCAAGCAAAAGGTTTCTAAAAAATCATTTCTGATCCTTTTTAATTAATTTTGTCTGTTGCACTTTTTTGCTACTTATTATAAAGAGAGTTGTAAAAAGTTCAGACAGGAAGAATCAACTAAAAACAGACATTTCGACAGAACCTGCTACTCTGTTTTTTCAGACAACATCCAGATACAAATTCGGTCAGATAAATTAGATTTTGCATGCAAAATTTTTCCAAAATATGTCAGTTGCTTTTTTTTCTGTTTAAGTTTTGCGTTTATTTTTGCGTAAGATTTGTTCATTTTTTTCGTCTTATGATATGTGTAGTGTTTTATTAGGGCCACGTGGCTCCTGGGTCTGCTGCCAGTGTTGGCTGGACTGTGTTTCTACCGCAACCTGAACAGTCTGTCCCTCTTCAGCATCCTGGCCGACTGTGCCAATGTCTTCGCCTACCTGATCGTATTCTACTTCGACTTCAGCCAACACCACACAGTGTCGTAAGTTCCAACTGCGCAAAAATCACCGTCGGCAAAAATCATTTGAGTAGGTCTTGCTGATTTTTTGTTCGATTTTTTTTCTGGAAAAAAAATCTTGAAAATTTGTGTTCAGGGTCAAGTTTACTTTTTCGCGGATTGACTCTTTAAGTTCAGTTCATTTCCTTTGTTAAAAGGAAGGAAAACTGGACTATCGAACAGCTAAAAGATTAAGGTCACGAAAAACGTTATCGAATTCTCATTTCGAGACTGGAATTTAATTATCAGATTAACCAGAGAAATAAAAGTTTTACAGATTGACCCAGTTTTCTCAAATTGGGTTAATTTTTATCAATAAAAGGTTCAACGACAAATTGTGTATAAAATTCGAAGAGACCTAATTGCATAAGTTTTTTCTTTGCGAGTTATTTTATCGGCTTTTTGGCCTCACAATATATCGGCTTTTTTGGCCTCATATTGCGTCTTATGAGCGAATTTTTCTTGGAGGGACTGGACTTGAAAACTTTTTTTTGCAAATTTCCAGCTTTTATTAATGAAATTTTTTTGCGGCTCCACGGGTGTCTGCTCAATAATTGTCGACTTTGTGACAGCTTCTTTGCTGCGATGCTTATTTAACCTTGAATTGTCCTATTGATGTGTTTTTCTTAAAAGGAATGAACGTTATGGTAGATCTAGTTTTTTTTGGAATTTTCTCTTTTTTCGTAGCAGTTTTTGTTTTGCTTATGCTGAATTTGTCTGGCTTTGTTTATATTGTATCGCAAGTGGTGCGAAGTTTTTTCCACATTTGGGTAAATAAACATTAAAAACTGGATTTTTTTTTCATTGCCCAAAGGCTAAATAGAGTTGCCAATATTGAGCAATTTTAGCTGATGTCTACAATATTTGAATTTATACAGCAGTTGCAAGCACAATTAATCCGCCAATTTACTTTTTAAAGAGACAAGATATCGGACTGATTTGAAAAATATATTTCTTTTATTTTGGATTTTTGAAGTGTTATTTCATCCGTGTTTCTAGTTCAAAGTATTTTCTTTGCTTAAATGAAAGCAAACTCTATTATGGAACAGCAATTATGCAAAAGTCACAACAAGCGTGATCGATTTCTAGTATCGAAAGTGGATTATGATTTTCAGATTTATCAGCGTGATAAAAATATTACCTATTGGTCCATTTTTCGGAAATTGGGTTATTTTTTTCAAAATAATGGCACTCATAATTTTTTCCTGAAATTAAAAGAAATTTTTTTGTTCATGTTTTTTAAGTTCACTATCACTATTTTTTCCCAAATCACTATTTCTTTTGGCTCTTTTCACTGTTCATTGGCTCTTTTCCAACTGTATATTGGTTATATTTGTTTAGTATCGCCTGTTTTTAAGAGTCGATGAACGTAGTTCAGGCTCTTCAATCGGACGCGATGGTTTTTTCAAGAAGTCTTCAGTTTTGTTCAGGCTCACATTTATTTTTTTGCTGTTTTACTTTTGGTTTCTTAAGTTCAGTTCATTTCTTTTGTCAAAATGAAGGCAAACTGCACCATCGAACTGCAAATGTATACATGTCATGAAAAGCGTGATCGGTTTCTAGTTTCGAAAGTGGAATTTAATTTTTAGATTTTCTAGCGAAAACAAAAAAAAATGTTTTCTTTTTGACCCAGTTTTCTCAAATTGGATTTATTTATTTTTCAAAAAAAGGTTCAATCATAAATTTTTCTAGAATTTTCAAACGGTCTTTGAAGATGATTCGGTAGGATTTCAAATTCAAAATTAAGTTGATTTTATCTATGAAAAAATTAAAAATGTAGTAGAAAATGATAGGAAGTTCATTCTCCTTCGTGTAAGTTTGTCCGAAAAACGAAAAGTTCTGACGAATTTTTCTTGACACTGAGACAGCTCTTTCCTTTTTGTTGGAATCTGAATTACGGATCAACCGTACAATCACCCCCCCCCCCCCCTAAGTGACTAACCTTAGAATTTCGCCCCTAGCCATGTATTAAATTTGAAAATTAATTCTGAATAATGTATGCATTTCGAGCAAACGCGCACATAAAATTGGTTGTCACTGTTATTTTTTAAATAAATCTAAGGTATACTCAAAGTTATTTCCTGAAAAATCCATATTTTCTCACCCGTAAATCAATTGGGGGGATTGTACGGTTAGTTCTGAAATACGACCAAAAAGAAGTTATAGAATTATATACTTGATTCCCCACGAGCTTTCATTGAGCTACCAAATATCAGGCAAAATCACACAAAGCAGTAGTGTTTTACCATCCCCGTTAGAATTTTTTGTAATATTTTCCAAATATACATTGCCATTCTTATATTGAAAGCATCCTCGTTCTCAAAATTTTGGGTTTTGATATTTTCCAGACAAAATTGGGCACCATAAAAATTGGTTAAGGCCTAGTGGGATATTATTAATTTTAAGCCCTTTCGGATGTGATTTGACCAGTAATGAAAAATTAAACAGTGAAATAATTCAAACGGTTTGAAATTTTTTTAATGTGTACAGAAAAATGAAGACGAAAATGCGATTTACAAAAATTAAGCGCAATTTTTTTTGAACCTATATTTAAGCTAAAAACTCTCCCCCCCCCCCCCCCCCCAAACGAAATATACCCAAAATTCAATTGAAATTTGTGTTTTGTTATTACTTTAATTTTTCCATAAGCTCGCTGTTGTGATATCATTTATCATTCTATGCCAACTGTACAGCTACCCTTTTTAAAAGTTTAAGCATGATTCAATCGGTATTTCATAGCACGCAGATGATGCTCTTCTTTTTTTTTATAGAAAACACCCCAAGTACATGACACTGCAGGGCTTCCCCTTCTTCCTCGGCATAGCTCTGTACTGCTACGAGGGTGCAGGAATGATTCTAGCCCTGGAAGCATCGGTCCACCCATCGGCTCGTCATCTTTTCAAAGGGTATGCTTTGTCGTATAACAATGCGTAATGTCCTTACCCTTGCGATTATCTTAAAAATCAGATGACCTTGTAAAAAAAATTATTTCAAAATGGTATTGAAAGAAACTGAAAAAAAAAGAATTGCCTCTGAGGAAATCAAGTTCAAAGCTGGAGAAATACAAATCTAGATTTTTGATTGAGAACGGCTATAATTTTTTCTAATGGACAGTAATGTGTTTTTTATTATTATTATCTCGGTTATTTATGGTTTTTGTTTTAGAATCTTCAAACTAGTCATGTTAATAGTGACAACTTTGTACATAGTATTTGGTGCAGCTGGTTACTTGGTAAGAACTCACCGTAAAAAATTTTAAAATAGAAATTGGGCTACGCTTAATTTTCGTTTTTTTTTCAGTCTTTTGGAAAGGAGACGCAACCAATCATCACATTAAATTTACCTGATTGTGAGTGGATTGTTTTGCATGGAAATAGTAACATTTTCGCAATGTGCAAGTTCCTTTCTTTGCTAAATCTAAATGTAATTTCGTTTCAGCTATATCTCCTCTCTTAGTCAAAGCCTGTCTTTGCTTTTCTCTCATCTTCACCTATCCGAGTTAGTGTCTTTAAATTAGAATACTACAACTTCATTTCAAAAATACAATCTGAACTTTTAAAGGGACCCTTCCTCGAGTTGTTATCATCTCCTCTGCTAAGCTATATGGGTGGTGTACTTTGTTTTTCTACAAGCGCTAAATTCTTTTAATCCAAGTTAAAAAGTGAGCTGGAAGATTTTAATACGAATACTCAATTTGGAATATTCCCCTTTTATGCTATTAAATTTAGAAAGTATTCGAAGATGCAAAATTAGAAGACTGTCTCATGAAGACTGTCTTGTTTAGTGATGATGTTCCCCGTCGTGCAATTACTGGAGGCCAAACTGCTTCCAGAACATTCTCAGTTGTCTGCAACGAGAAGCAGCAATAATAGCAGTAGTGCAACATCCAAATACATGCCGGGCAATGTGCTCCGGTGCAGTCTAGTATGTGTGACAGGTACTATGTTTTCAACAAAATATATGATATTATGAGTTGAATAGTTATAACTAGGGTAAGTTTTGATTGGATCTATGCCTGTGGCTTACCCTAAACAGGTGCAGATGCTTTGAAAAAACTTTTGTGAATTGAGTTGATTATTATTCGCTAATGGAGTACCATGTAAACTGTTGGAACTTGATTAAGAGTCGGTGAACGTAGTTCTAACTCTTTTAAAGCTCGCAATGGTTTTTTTACACAGTTCAAGTGTAAAGGTCACAATAAAAGTGATCGACTTCTAGCGTTAAAAGTGGAATTTAATTATCGAATTTCTCAGCTCAATAAAAATTTATCTATTGACCCAGTTTTCTCAAATTATGTTGCTTTTATCAAAAAAGAGTCAGCCATTAATTGTTCTAGAAGCTCATAGAGCAGCTTTGAGGGCATCAGTTTTTTTCTTTGGAATTCGGAAATTGATTTTTTTTAAAAACAAGTCAGCATTTTTTTTCTGTTTGCTTGCATTTATTGACTATTTTCCAACTGTCTGTGGCTATGTTTGAAGTTGCTCCAACTATTCTCGTGGAGTCGGGAGGAACTATGGCCTAGGGGAGGATTTTTGCGCGCCATTTTTACAACCTCAAAGAAAGCTCGTTGGGGGGGTCAGTTATGATATCACATGAAGTCCTTCAATTTGTGATTCGATTTGCTTAAAAATATCAACAGGTTGTCTGTTTCGAGAAAAGGTAGTCTGATTTGTTCAGTGTTGGAGATCAAATGACATGATATATGATAAGATTAAGCTGCTAATTTAAATCTACTGTTCTTTTTGCACTAGCCTGCAAAAGAGTGTAGTATATTAGCATGACACTATTTTTGGTGCTAGTTTGATAGAGTGGCCTCTCGAAAAAGCAAATATGTTAGGTAGGTCGCGAATGTGTTTCGCATGTAATAGTTTGAAAACTAATTTGTATAAATAAATTTTTATGTATAAATTGTTCATTTCAAAAATCTTGGGAAATATGTTGAGTCAGAAACTTTTCAAGATTAAAATGGTTATTGCTATATTTGTTTAAACCAACAAAAATGCTCACTTTAAGCTTTTTTACGATGTATACACCTTAATTGGGTTGCCTTAATTTTGGTCCATTTTTTGATTTTTCCTCCTTAAAATTGTGAGAAGGGAGTTCTTACGAAATGATGAAAAATAAACTATTTGAAAACATACTGTGAGCAACGAGCTATCCTTGTCGTAATTGTAGGTGTGATTGTGATTGCAATTCCGAACTTCTCAGTGCTGATGGCTCTAGTGGGCAGTACATGCTGCACTCTGCTCGCATTCATTCTTCCTGCAATATTCCATCTCTATTTATTCCACGAGTAAGTAAAGAAAGAAAGGCTGAAGTTTTTGTTATCAAACCCAGATTCATAAATTCACATTACCAGCAAAAACAAATCATTGCTTATATCTCATACCAAGTAAAGAAAAAAGCGTGTACCAAATATTAAAGAGATTTCATCAAATATGTGAACATTTGGGATAGCAAGTGTTTGAGGGTTTTTTCTATCATCCCCCCCCCCAAGTAAATTATAACCCCCAGTAAAAATTAAATCAGAAAAAACTTAAGATGTACAGCGAAATAGCATGTGAATTTGTTTAAGAGTCGATGAACGTAGTTCAGACTCTTATATAGGTCGCGATTGTTTTTTTAAAAGTTCGACTCATTTGTTTTGTTAAAATAAAGACAAACTCCACTATCGAACAGCAAAAGTGTAAAGATTACGAAAAACGTGGTCGACTTCTAGGTTCGAAAGTGGACTTCAATTTTCAGAATTTCCTGCGAAATATAAATTTTACCTATTGATCCAGTTTTCTCAAATTGGGTCAATTATATCAAAAAAATTCCAATCATAAGTTGTTCTAGAAATTGAGATTTTTCAATAAACAAGTTCGTTTCTTCTTGCTTATTTTTGTTCATCGAGTCTTTTCGAACTGCCTGTTGGCTGTGTTAATGTGTAGTTATCTGTAGCATTGGAAATTTCATAGCATCTGTTCTCTGGTTTATTTGCAGCTCGTGTTTGTGATTAACTAAGCGTCCGTGGCTGAGTGGTTAGTGCGTGAGACTCAAACTTTCTAGGTCGCAGATCGAATCCTAGACGTAGCCGAGTTTTTACTAATCCGAGGCTTATTTCTACTTTTTCTTATTGCACTTTATAGACCTGTTTTTTGTCGTGTTCTCGCCAGTGTATGCGAAGCGCAGTTCGCCTCTGTTTATAAAACTCTATGCAGCTCATCGTGCAGTACTAACAAAATATGGATGAAATCTTGTATGAATGCAGTTTCGAATAAATGCACAAATATTTTTATTATGTCAATTATAAATTGACAAACTGGGGGCTAAATATTTTTTGCTACTAAGCTGGAAGCTATTACAGCAGACCTGTGTTTTATAATCGGTCTCTATATTTTCCCCCCGTCTAAATTTGAAGAAGCTCGCAAGGCTCTTTTTATTTCCCCACATCGCATGAGCATTATTTTTGTGCTGTAATGGGTGGTTTTACAAGGTTAGTATGCAGCTCAAAGTTGCTTTTCATGACTTAAATAGTCGCAGACTTGCTGAATTTTTCGACAGTTTTTCTATACCTTTTTTACGCCCATGTAATAGTTTTGGGACCAGGTGAGCAATCCCTCCCAATTCGCGCGTGAAGGGAAAGAAAATTCAATGGGTACTTGAGACAGGTTTACAACCACTTGAAAGAAGTTTTAACCGCATGAATCTAGACTGATATTAATTTTGAGAGTGCATTATCAAATGTTGCTGCCTTTCTTAAACAAAAAAATTCTCAGTAATTTTTCAGAAACAAAAAAAATCTGTTAAGTTCTTGCCTCTGCGCTGTTGCCAGAATCCTCAAAACCAAAGACGGACTTAGCTGTAGATTCCAAATTATACGTTATATCGATTTAAATTGACATCATCAATTATGAAAGACCGTTTTTCTGAAAATCCGAATATTGACTTCGCAAACTGGGTTGAGATTATTAAGCGTCGATAAATGTAGTTCAGACTCTTATACATGTGATGGTTTTTTCGGGTTTTTTTTGAGAAGAAGTCTTAAGATTTGTTCATGCTCAAGTATACTTTCCCGTGGTTTGACTTTTGATTATTTTTTCGTTCATTTCAAGTTTTCTGCTAAAAGGAAGGCAATCTCTTCTATCGAACAGAAAAAGTGTAGAGGTCAGGAAGAACGTGCTTGACTTCTTGATTCAAAAGTTGAATTTATTCTTCAGATGTCCCAGCGAAATGAAAATTTTAATCATTGATCCAGTTTTCTTAAGGTGGTCATTTTATCAAAATATTGTTTGATCTTAATTGATCTAGAAATTCAACGAGCTTTAAGGGCATCTATTTTTATTTTTGAATTTCAAGTTGAGAATTTCACCAAATGAGTTTTTTCAAAAAACGTCAGTATTTTTTCTGTTTACTTGTGTTCATTGACTGTTTTCTAACTGTCTGTTGGCTATGTTTTATCTTTGTGGAATGCGGGGTCGAACAAACATGCTGCAACTCATGTTGGAGTTTTAGAGAACAATTGTCGACGGTTTTGTCTCACTACGAGACCTTTGTCAGCGGCACCTTTGGCGGACCAGAATTTTTGCTCGAAATTGACAAATATTGCTTCAGTCACACGCTAAAACCTCAAGAGGTCGCGTTCCCCAGCAACCCATATGGATTTTTGGAAATGTGGATACAAGCTATAAACCGACAATTGGATTTACGCAAATTGTCGAACGAAGAAACGCTGCATCACTCCTTATTATACGAAGCGTAGCTCGTCCTGGATCAATTATGCATTCCGATGAATGGCGAGCTTTTGGAGGACATCAGGGCATGGGATTCGCCCAAAAAACGATGAATCGTGTTTTTGTGGAAACCGATGGGATACACACTGAAACCGTAGAGTCTTGCTGGAACTAAAAAAAGACCTTAATCAAAAGCCTGCTTGAATGAAGACGAGTTTTCTTGCAGTACTGTTTGTAGGCATTTTTGTTGAGAGATCGATTTGGCTCAAGAGCACTGGAAACACTATCTTGCGTATGAACAGTTTCAATTCTCTGTAAACCTAAACTGGCCAATATGTGCTATTTGATTGTTTGACATTTCAATTGCTGGGGTGGGTGAGAATGCTCAATTAGTCCTCACAGGGGGATATTGCTCAATTGATTTTTCTTTTGTTACGTAGCTTGGAAAATGAGTAACTGTCCCCAGAGCTTGGGAAATTTTAGTTTAAAAATATTTTTTTGCTCAGTATGTTAGCGGTTTATAGCTCAGTTTTTTTTAATAGATTCTTTTTTTTTGCTAAACAGGCTTATACCCAAGTATTGTCTGCATAGAAACCGCTCCGTAATGTTTGTTTCCTTTCTCATTAAACGCTGCATTGGAAAAGTAGACTTAATTCGAGATCTGAACCCTCGGACAGTCGCCGAACTGATAATATACATCGAAAGTTTTCTGCCGTAGAGTCACACGGGATCAAGTTTTAGCTCTCACATCCTTAATTCGCAGGAGCAAGATATAAGGTCAAGAAAATGGCGGAAACTTTTTTGAGTTTCCCTTAAGATAGCAAGTTAGCTGAAATAATTTGTACGAGATCAAATCAACAACTTATAACTTAACTTCAGTATTAAGTATAACCCCCCATGAATGATTTGCTGCAATTTTTGGACGCTTATCTGCGCATTTTTGTTTTTTCTTGTTGTACTATATGCTTTCTTTTGATTTCTAAAGCATTGAAAACATTATCTTGCATATGAATATCTTTAATTCTCTGTAAACCTAAGCTGGCCAATTATTTCATTGCTTAACGTTTAAATTTTGCTGACGTGGGGAGAAAGCTCAATTGATCATTTCGAATAGATTGCTCAATTGATTTTTTTTAAATCACGTTGCTTGGAAAAGAGGAGCTATCCCAAGAACTTAGGAAATTATAGTTAAAAATTTTTATAGCTCAAAATTTTAGCTGTTTATTGCTCAGTGTTTTAGCAACATTTTTCTCTGCCAAACAGGCTTATGCCCAAGTATTATCGGTATAGTAACCGCTCTGTAATTTTTGTTTCTTGCCTCATTAAACCATGCATTGGATGATTTCGAAAAAATAAAGTTCGGCTTTTTGAGTTTCGCCTAACATAGCAATGACGCAAGTTAGCTGAAATAATTTGTATGAGATCAAATGAACAACTTATAAATTAACTTCAGTTATAAATATGACCCCCCATGAATAATGATTCATTGCAAGTTTTGTTGACGCCTATCAGAGCATTTTTAGTTTTTCGCATGTTGTATTATATGTAATGTTTTGATTTCAGAGAAACTTCAATTTGTCAGTTAGCTCTCAACTACTCCCTCATCTTCATCGGTACTCTTGGGTGAGTTCATTCGGTGGTGTGTTACAATAGGTGGTAATTTTGAGTATAGTGCATGTATTCAATTTAAGAACTATAATTCATAATATAGTCATTCCATTTTCAATCAATTGTACATGCTCCTAAGATAGTTTTTGTATATACATTACTGTGTCAGTTGAAATGCTATCCAAAAGTTCAAATTTAACACTTTTTTCGCCAAAAAAAATGGCTTTTGAGACAAATTATAAATAATGTGCGAAGTATAACAAAAAGCAATTCAGCTGTTATATGACCCTTACCATCTATTGAAATATATCACCGTTCATTCAATTATTCTCATATTTCTTTTTGGTTTTCCTGTTTTTTTTTCAAGGACAGCTTGAAGATATCTTAAAGGGGGTGTGGTAAGATTTTTCAGTCGCTTTCGTGTGCAGGTTATTATGAGTAAATAGTTTTTTGTTTGGTGCACGTTCTTTCTAGCCAGTGTACGTTGTCCAAAATTGCTTGCAGTTGAAAAAGTACCTCAGATACCAAATATTGCTATCAATTTGCTAAAAAGCACCACCTGTAGTCTCCGAAAGTCACCACTGCATGTTGTAAATGACTCCTCAGGGAAAGGGTTAGGTCGACAACCCCCCCCCCCCCCCCCCTCCCTGTTGTACTCCGTACCCCCACCCCGAAATTTCCTCAAATTTAGAGGATAGTTGGTAGCAAGATGTGACTGACTTTTGTTCCAGTGCTCTCATGGGAACGTGGGATGCGCTCTGTCGTCTGTTTCCAACCCTGTCCATATTTGCCATCTTCAATTCGGCAAAGGAAACAATTCTCAGCTTTGTCCACTAAGAATAGAAACGGAAGAAAGAGAACATTCTAGAACTATCGTCATCATCAGTATCATCATCATCATCCGTCCCTTCTGAACTGAACATGTCTTCTATTCTTATTTTTCGTTTATATGAAACACAGGCAGTAGTAGTTTTTATTAGGTATTTGGTAGTCAAATTGATATAGTCTTTGTTAGATAAAGGATCAATGAATTTAAATGCAAGGAAGAAATTCGTTTTTGAAGCTGGGAGATATTACATTCTCGTGCCTAAAAATATTGGTAGAAGACTGAAAGTTTAGTGAATCAATTCTCGAAGAAAATCAAAGATAAGAGCAAAGAAAAAAATGGAACGCAATTTATGAATCGTAGCCTCCTTTTAAGGTTGTTGGAACCTAATGAAAATTTAACATAAAAGATTTAACATAGAAGGAAAAGTCACACCGAGTTTTGCGGTTCATAAAATGTGCCGATTGTTAACCACAACTCCGAATTGAAGATGCAAAAATTGAAAACGGTTCGTCAAAATATAAGTCAAGTAGTTGAAACTTACACTGATGAATTAGCATTTCGCATAAACAAACGAAAAAAAACTTGTCGATTGGAGTTTTTAAACATTTAATTACCCTTTTCAAAATATAGACGCACTGACATATGAAAATTGTCCAATTTCAGTTTTTAAAATTGCCACTTGCTGAGTTCAATGATACGCATTTTAGGCACTTCTGATGATGCTCAACGCCTAAACGCGACTTTTATGAGCGCGGTGATTTAATCTAAACTTCCTGGCGGATAAATGTTTTTTTTTTCATTTTGAATGAAGCCATATAATTTGATCCCCAAAGTTTCAATATATGGTTAAAATCATGATTATATTTTTTCAAATTGAAATTTTTGAAGCTGAAGTTGTTTTTTTTGTGTAAAAGAACGGAGTAATTTTCACTTGTATAGTTCGTGATGAATTTTATTGGTTATTTTCCAGTTAATTCTCTGCACTTGCGAAAGCAAGTGTATTGCAACCGGGTACTAGACTTTTAGCCGTATAAAACTTTGTTCACAGAATGGTCAAAAATCGAAATAGTAAAATTAGATTAAGTTCACTTGGAATTCATTTTTCATTAGAAGTTTAAAATGTCTTATAGCAAAAGAAGTGCATGCATAGTTGTAAATGCACATATGAATGCACTTAGGTTTATGTGCACTTAATGAATTCGATTCAAGTTCATTTACTAGAACGTAAGCAAAATGCTATCTCCAATAATGACAGCTGAAATGGCGAAAAAAACGTAATCGATTTCTAGTTTGAAAGTAGAATTTAATTTTTAGATTTACCGGCGGAAAATTTTTTTTTCCTCTTAATCCAGTTTTATCAAAACTGGTGAATTTTGACAAACAATATTTTGTTTGCATTTCTAAGTTTTTTCAAAAAACAAGTCAGTTTTTTCTTTTGGCTCTTATAGCGTTTATTGGCTCTTTTCCAACAGTCTGTTGCAAATCGTAGAATTGTCTTTTTTGCTGTACGCAATTTAAATTGTAGTTGCTTTGAGTGTTTGACTTACTTCGTCTAAAACTTTGTAAACCTTTATTTTCTTACATTTTCTTTTTTTGTTGTCGTTTTTTTTGCTCGAAAACTGTTTTCTGACTGAATCATTTCGCCTGATATTTGTTAACTTGGTAGCCTCATTTTACAACGTTTGATGACCAAAGAAATTGTTCGAATATGCGAGTGGGTGTTTTGAGTGGAAAAAGAATCGAACATTTTTTAGTTTTTTTTCGGCCGAAACTTTTTTTGTGTCGCTTGGGAAGTTTTCTTCAGATGTTTTTTTTTCTTATTTTTTTTTGTCCTAGCATGTTTTCTTCCGAAACTAGTCTTATTCAATTTGGTATATCTAGTATTTTTGGCAGTTTTTTAAATATATCTCCGATTTTTTTTAAGATTATTTCCCCGTTTGAATTTTGGGTTTTTCTAATCTTCATTTCCTTTGTTGATAGGAAGGCAAACTTTTGAACAGCAAAAGGGTACAGGTACCAAAAAACTGAATTATTTCTAATTTCAAAAATGCCTCTTAGTTTTCTGATTTCACAGCAGTATTGACTCTTTGATCCAATTTTTGCAAATTGATAAAAAAATTGGAAAGTGTCAATGATGAACTGTTTTTGAAATTCAAATAGTTTTTTTACTGTGATGACATTTGCGACAGCAATTATCGATTCTTAAAAAACTTCAGAGCCCCTTCACTTTTGGCCTAAAAGTAATGCAGTTATCTTTGTACCCTATGGTCTAGATTTCGAAACCGGTCGGACCTTGTTTTTTTCAGTGTCTGAAAACTTTCCGGGAAAAATTGAGTAGTCGGACATTAAATTTTTGACCCATTTTTTGTCCGCTTACTTGCTACACCTTGAGTTTTTTGAGCTGTAAGCTGTTTTTTTTACTCTCTAGTGTATTTGCTTAACTACTGTAGTTTTTAAAGTTAGCTAGCCCTGATTGGTACATTTTTTTTATTAAAGATCTTTAATTCGGCCGAAGTAATTCAGGCTCATGTTTTGTTGGTTTAGTGAATTTACTTTGCATTGGTTTAAGGATGAAAAATGTTTTTTTTTTAATAAATTAGGTTAGTTGGTATAAAAGTTAGAGAATTGATCACAACATTTTCACTTGTTGTTTACGGATCAATTGGCGTCTAACCCCGCGTTGTCGGCTTAAGGAACGGTCAATTTTTTTGAAACTGTTGGTTTTTTATGACAATTTCCTGTCGCATTTTTTGTTTTCGGATCAGCTGGCGTCTAACCACATGTTAATGGCCTAGTGAACTCTCGGAAAGCCGTAAAATCGTGGTTAATGCAGATCAGATGGTTGTGTTTATTGTCTGTTTTTCTGAGATAGAATTTTTTATATTTCCAAAAAATTGTCGATTTTTTAAAGTTCTTTTGACAACAGTTTTTTTTACATGTTTTGTTTTTGGGTCAATTGATGTCTTACCGCGTGTTGTTGCCTTAATGAATGTTCGGAATAATTTAAAAGAGTTATTAATGCAAGTGGTATTGTAACTCGTCTTTTTTTCCGCGGTTGAATTTTCGTAATTTCAAAAAAAGATATTGATTTTTCGAGCTTTTTCGACTTAGTTGTTTTTATCTTACTGTCTATTTGATAGCTCACCAATTGACGCTTCCGTTTTATTGCAAGTGATGCGAGGCGTCATTTTGCTTTTTTTGTCGTTTTTTTTCGAAACTGAAAGATTAAAAATTTTTTGTATTATTTTTTGTTCGGTCAACATATTCGTCTATGTTTTCCACTTGTCTGTTGGCTATTTTTGTAACTTATAGCAATTATTTACACTGTTTCATACCAAATATGAAAGATAATCAAAAATTTGGAATGATCATTTTTTTGGTTACTTTATTTTTAAAATGCTCCATTTGCCTGTTGGCTATGTTTCTGACTAATACCACTTAATTACACTTTCATACGAAATAAGAAAGTTATTCAAAATTTTGAATGATTAACTTATTCTTCTTTATGTTCCATTTGCCTGTTGGCTATGTTTCTTACTAATAGCAATTATTTATACTGTTTAGCCTCATGCTGCTTCTGCTAATCACGAAGCTTTAAGTTAGCAATCACATTGTTATTTATTTATCAACTGAAACTAATTAATTTTCTCAAAACCCTTGCAGTTAGCAATGGTATTGACAGCGGATTCTAAACTTTTTTTCTCGTTGAAAATTTTGTTTGCATGACTCATCCTTAATAACAGACCTGTTCACACCAAAAGACATTTTCTAAGCAAGTTTTTCAAAAAACTGGTTTTATTTCAGCTAGCTGGCGAGCGTTAAGTTACATATTACAGACTTGTAGTGGCTAGTTTTAATATGTTTTTAAGCGACCCTGGCACAGATGCAAAAACGTCAGGCTCCTCATATTTAAGTAGGAGGTTTGATTACTACTCATAACAATAGATTTGTTTTATTTAGTTGCAATTTTGCTGCATATAATAGGCTATTCAACAGGATATGTAACTAGCTATTTGGTGGCTAGTGTTAGTATAATTCCTAGCTACCGTGATGCGAGAGCGTGAGGTTCCTAAGATCGGCATCGGAGGCTCGATTCAGGTTTAAAATGTTGTTTTACGTTTTCTCTTTTTATCGTATTTTTTTAAAATTAACTTTTGAATTTTTTTAGTACGTGAGGTTTCTAATCTCGAGGTTGGAGGTTCGATTCCGGTAAATAATTTTTTCTTCAGTTTAAAGGAGCGTAGTGAGGATGACTTTTGATTCGCTCAAAATTTTATTATTGAAATTCAAATTCATTTGCTAAATTGAAGAAAATATATGCTTTCCATTTAAAAACAAAACGAAAAACGTGAATGATTTCGAGGCTAGAAAATGGATGTTAACTTTGAGATTTCCCATTGGAATAAAACTTAACCTATTAATCCAGCTATCTCTACATGGGCTTGTAGTTTTATGCAAACAATGCTCATTTTAAAAATTTTCCTCTAAATTCGCAACATTTTTATCGATATATTGTCGCGGTGTTAGTTGCGTTCATTAACAATCTTTCAACTGCTTGTGGGCTGCATTTCGTCTTGGTTGTATGTTTATTAATTCCGCTTTTCTATAATTTTTTTTTCATCTTAATGTTTTGTTTGATCTAAAAAGTTTTTTTTATGTTCTATCGGTACAGTTGCTTCATATTGCGTTATTTGAGGAACAAAATATATTTGCATGCCTTGGTAGGGGCTCAAAAATTAGAGCTCTGAATTTCTTGCTCAATTTCGCATTGTTTTTTTAGGCTTGAACAAGCGTCCTTTTAATGGAGGCTTATTTGCTCAAGCAAGCTTGCGACCATAGTGTAGTTTTTCAAGTCCGCTGTTTTTGTAACTGAGTTTGTAGAAATTAAGCTTCCTTTTTGCTGGCGTTTTTCTGCATAACATAACAATTTAATAGCATGTGTTTCATCCGCTTTTTTGGTAAAATGTTTTTACTCATATCAAGCGTTGGTGGCACCGCTGAGTAGACAATGCACTTTATTGCTTTTTCTCTTTTTTTCGCCGTATACAGCTTTTTTTTGCGTTTTTTCGCTTGCTCGCAAATTGCTGATTGGCATTTGTGTAAATTTTGATTCACAGATAGTCATAACTGGGAACATTCAGTATTGACATTGTTTTTTCAAAAAGAATTTCATTCGAGACAAATCGTGCAAATCATCATATGAAAGTCTTGATAGATCGTA